TTCTAAGGAACAGGACCTGCTCACTCAGCTTCTTTCCACTTCACACACTACCCGGCTTCCGCTTCAGCCTTCTGGCAGTCACCCAGACTGAACATAGCCCTCGAGTCACAGGAACACGAACAACCACGAGTGCTGCTCACAGGTTAACAAAGAGGCAGCCAAGGCACTCACCACCTTCACCCCTGCAGAAGGTAAGGGGACGGGAGAAAAGGCACACATTGAACAGACTCTTCTCTATCAGTCACCATGTTTTCCTACAGATTATAGCACTTTATCACAAATCCTTGCTTTCTCTCTGTAGCTGCCACTCCCACATCCCTCTGTTGCTGGAAAGCACGGCTCCCTCTGCCGTTGCTGCTACAGGGCTAACTCCTTACTCCCCCCCCCGGCCCAGCAAATACCCCTTCAACCTGAAAACCATCACTACAGACCGACAGCGAGACGTTTGGACTTTACCAAGTCGGACGAGAGCTTGTTACGGCTTATGAAATACCACCTAAGCGGGAAGGAAGGTGGTCTGCAACAGAAACGGAGAAAAGGGGGCTGAGAGTGACTTGCCTACAGCGGGGGAAAGCAGCAGATGGGCTTGAGTACATACAAAGGCTCCATCACAACACCGGAGAGAGCAGCGTGGATAGAGGAGCAAGCCAAAGACCGGCAGAGCAGCGACTCAGAGCTATCAAAAGGTTGAGGGCAAGAAACGAAGTATAAGAAAAGTGAACCGAACCGTTGAAGCGCACGGTCGGACTCAGCGGGCAGAAAGGAAACGGGGGGCCTGCAAGGAGGCAGAAGAGTTTCCAGCACCGATAAGAGAAACCAGAAGCCCCACTCCGCCCCCCTCAGGGTCGCTCACCGGTCACCGCCGCTATCAGACCGACTGGGTGGCAGAAACAACCGTAACTCAGGCCTCGGGGCTCCCTGAGGCGGCACCGCCGGACGCGGCGCGCCCCACCGCCAGGAGCCGCGGGCCCGTCCCGCCGCGGCAGGTCCCCAAACCCGCCCCACTCCGCTCCCCACTACCGCCGGAGCCCCCTCCCGAGCCACCCATGTTTCGGTGGGCCCGGGGTGAGCCCAGGCCGCCGGGACCCCACAGTGCTCACCCCACCGCCTTCCCGCCCTGCCCTCCCCCACTCGCAGCGCCAGGATCGATGAGTCGGCCGATCTCTCCCTCCACCCCGCGGAGGGTGAGGGGAAGGGGCAGCCACAGCCGCGAACGGCAGCGGTATCCCCGCGGAGCCCGGCCCGGCCCGGCCCGGCCCGCCGCATCGCCACAGCCGCGAACGGCAGCGGTATCGCCGCGGAGCCCGCCGCATCCCCACAGCGCGTGCAGCACTCACTCGGACAGCCCTCTCAGCAGCACCGCTCCGCTGCAGGCGCTGTAAAAGCGGCACCAAGAGCCCCGCCTCAGCGCGGCAGGCGGAAGATACGGCATGCGCGGCGGCTGCGGGTAAGGAGGGGCGGTGCATCCCTCATTGCTACCTCAGGCACTAGTACGGGGTCGGGGAAAGGGGGAGCAGAAGGAAGCAGCCGTGGAACTTTTCGTTAGCTGAGCGGGGCTGCTGGGAGCCGGCGGGGTCACATCACCGCGCCAGGCCTGGGGAAGGCGGTGCGGGCTGTTCGCCTTCCCGCCCTTCCTCGAAGCAAGCCGTGGGGGACCGTGAAACCGGCTCCAAACCGCGGCCGGTGCCGGGGGTCCCCCCCCCAGCGGCACCCCTGCTTCTGGAGGTAGAGCAGCCTCGAGGTAATGCTATGCCGGGCCTTTGGTCCCCGCCCCGGCAGCATTGTTCTGGAACTCGGGTTGTGCTTTTAGGCCAAAATCCCCTTGAGCCGTTTACAGCCGCTTATAGCCCAGCAAATAAATTTAGCTTTTCACTTAATAGAGTTTTAAGGGTTTAACAGAGTTTTACTCAAGCTAAGTGCTATTTAATAAAGCCTTTATAGTAGTTTTGTTGAAAGCAGCGCTGAGTCACAGTGCCACTGCCAGCCTGTCTTGCAACGCAGAGCACGCCAGTGCTGTTTTGAATCAGAAGGGGCTCTAAGAAGCTCATACAAGGTTCCTGGGATTACCGAAAATGAAGCCCAAAGCAATTCTTGATTGAGGCTTGAGTCACGCTGGGCCAGCTGAGCCGGTGGCTTCATGCTGGAAGTGACACGGAAGTTTCTGGTAAATTTTGTAAATTCTAAGGAACTGAGGAGAGAGACGTTTCTCTTGTTTTTCAAACTGTTCAAGTTGGTCTTGGAAAGGGCCTGCTAGCCCTAAGCAGGCAAAGCACATACTCTGGTCCTTCTGCCCGAAGTGTGTATGTGTGTATCTCGAGAGAAATCTGCACATTTTTGTTTGTTGGCTTCTGTTACAAGTAATACAGATTTCTTTATACATTTGTATAGAAAAAGATCTTATCTTTTGTTTATGGGAAACCAGGTGCTTACTGTGTCTGATACACTCAGAAAAGCACCACATACTCAGCAAGTTTGGAAATATCCACTTACACAGTACCTTGCTGCCTAGAGGCATCCACACTGTTGCAGAGATGCCAAGGGAAAGTGATTTTCTTAGTGGAGCTTGGTTTGGACAGGTGTTTTTTCTGTTTTAGGTGCTGTGTAAAAGGATGCAGGCTAAGGAAGGAGGCAACTAAGTCTTCATTGCTTCCTCTGAGTGATACCTATAAAATGAAGTCTTCCCTCCTTCCAGACACCAGCTGTGAACAGCCATGTGCCAGCACCATTCCTTTCACCCATTACCACCTGTACGATCCTGGACGCTGGTAACAACTCTGTTGCTGCTTACATTTAGGATTTAGAGAAGATGCACTCAGGCGTTCATTGAATTCTTAATGGGTTCTCCAATTCTCCAAGAATGCTTGGCAAGAGATGTATGGTGAGGTAGCATCCTTACAGGATTAGGTTTACATTCTCCAAAATGCAGGACTTAAAAATGCAAGTGCTAATGTAGGCAGCTGTCACAGCACTCATGGTAAGGACTTTCCAACCAGTGTTAAACATGAGGTAAGCCATGTCAGGTTTTTCACCTGCTCTTTGCTGTTAGTGTTAGGCAAGACTTCCCCCTTGTTATTTTTCCTGACAAGTTACATTCATTGTTTTTATCCAGGCTAAGTAGCCGTGTAACATATGGATCTGTTCCTGCCAAAAAGAGGCTCTGCATGTTATTTAATACACCCATTGACATACTTCTTCCTGTGCTGCTTCCAGAGCTGAGGGCATGTTCATGCTCCCACCATGGTAACTGCTATGCCATTCCTTTCCTCAGCACTGAACCCAAAGAGCTGAGGAGGGGTCATGATTCTATGCCAAGGGGAACAACTCAGGGTGGGAGAGGCAGCTTTGAGAGCACAAAATGCCACACGCAGAAAGTGTCAAAGGTTCCTGAAGGGTACTTTCATTATCAAACTGAAAGCAGCAGTTCAGTTTCCATTATAAATGGAAACTTGAAGTAGCCCCATGCTGGGCTGCTGAGGCAGGATTTGTCAAGAGGGCCTTTTCTGGTGTCACACACACATGGCTAATCTGTGTGGGAATTGTGACCCTCTGAGAGGGCCTTCCAGGGTTCTGAGTTACGAGCTGGGCTTAAACCACCACACAGGGCCAGCACAGTTCTTTGCCAAAGCAAATGGTACAGGAAGGTCTCCCTAGCAGACTGGTTGTTCTGTCCATAGCTTATAAAACAGCAGACCCCCTGGGTCCCTAATTGAGATCGGGGGCCAACAGGCTTGTAGTCTAATTAAAAAGCCATGATGAAGTGTTGCAAGGGTGGTCTCCTAAGCTACAGATGGGAGGCAACCTTCTGCCTCCCAGAGTGCAATGGATCACTGTCCATATATTCATTTCTCTTTTGGCAGCAAGGGAGAAATCGTTGTGGACTGGCCTTTTTTAATACCAGAGAGATCTCTCCCAGCTCACCACAGCTTTCTCCCACTACTATTTGAAAGCAAAGGACCACAAGGACAGGAAGAATTGTAGGGTCTGAAACATTCCCAGGTTTCTGCTAACCTACAAAGCTGCACAAAGGAGAGAGCTGCATCACTCCTGCCACTTACAGCACAACCCGCTATCCCTGGCCTCCAGGCCACAAGAGGAAACCCCAGGACCATTATCTCCCCTGTTGCCATAATAGGTCTGCTTTAATCCAACCTGCTTAGCACAGGGTGATTTGTCCTTTGTTTTGAAAATGGTTGAGTGGGCAGGAAAACAAGACTCATTGTTTGGGGTTTCCCCAGCTGAGATTTCCCTCAACACCCTGTGTGTTTTCAGCCTGTTAAAAAGCAGGCACAAAGTCTTACAATTTCCTGACAGGAGTGCTGCTGGCTGGATGGCATTCCTCTGGACTTCAAGCTTCTGCCATTTACTGGACCCAGCACCCACCACTTGGTCTGAACCTCCCACCCTTTTCAAACCGGATATACCCAGATCCCTTTTCTCGACATGTGAGTTGGTGAAGTTCAACCTCTGAATCTTTCCAGCTGTTCAAGGAGCACAGCTGCACTTTGCTTAGCTAATCTTCCTGATCTGGCACACTGGAGTGCTGGAGGCTTAAGCCAACACAAAGGTGTTGTGTCATTGACTCCTTCTCTCACTGAATGCTGCTGTGTCAGTGTAAGGTGCTCATCCTAGTACCACAAGTTAAGGAAGTGAACTACAGCTACAGGAATTAAATCCTAGCTGCTGCAATTCGATTTACATTACCTACACCCCATCTTGGCTATTTATTGCAAGTTCTCTGCACAGAGAATCTGAAGAAACAATGTAAACTACGGAGAAAAGAAGCGCATGTATTAGGGATGTATCAACATCCAGTTGTATCTCATATAACTTAGATGGGCTCTGAGCATTCCAGCAAAAAAGAAACTGAAGTCAGGCCCTTTAACACCTGAGTTTTTATCTCATCTCAAGATCACCTTCCCTTAGCTCCCTGCTTTGGCTTCCGTTTTAATCATCAACTGTAAGAGTGAATGCAAAGGAAACAAACGGTAACTCCACCAACAAAAAAGAAAAAATAATTAATGACTTTATTTTTTTTCTTTTTTTTTTTTTTTTAGTTCAGTTGGCCATCTGAGGTGCTAAAATCTCAACACCAACGAAGCAAGTGTGCATAAAAACAAATGATAGAACACAACCAAACAGAAGAAAACAGGCTGGAACAGAGTTGGTTGTTTTTTTACAGGTAGGGTAATACGCTTTTCTGTTAACACTCCATACATGCCAACCGTAAAAGCCTTGAACGATCTGAATATCAGAGTTCACTTTCATACAAAAGGGAAGCTGCCAAAGCAGATCCCTTCACCTGGATTAGACTTCACACACACACGCATGCACGCACAGATACAGAGTATTTAAATTACTGCGATGCCATCAGAACATGGCATCCTCCCCTTCACATCTGCTCTCAGTGACATCCCCACCTGCCCCACTACCCTGCCTATAGCACTGCTCTGAGCAATCCAAAACCAGGAAGTTTTGGAAAGCTTCCAATCTCTGTTATTTTGCAGCAGTTGAGAGCCAGTGGTCTCTTTTCTCTGTGAACTATATACAGGCTGGTTTTTAGTATGCTTTAGAGTTCTCTTTATTGCAGACAGAGATGACTGAAATTCCCATAAAGCCCTATTGCGGCTTCTCAGTTTGTACACAGGAGGTTTTCTAATGCAACACCTTTCTCATCCACTGGTGTCTGGTGTAAATACTTGATTGAAAACTCATTTTAAAAGAACGTTAACCAAACAAGGTGTAGCTGTGAACATTTTCTCACAAAAGGGAACTGCTGGCTGCTCTAGAACATGCAGTCTAGACCACGTACAATACTTCATAATGTTCAGGATTAGGATGTATAAAAGTATTAAAAACCACCAGAGTGCACACAAGTGTGGTGACTAGCTCTATGCAAGCACTGTGTTCTAAGAGAGGCCTAGGCATTGCACAAAACTCAGATTCTCGACCATGGGGGTAACCCAAGGATCCACTGGTGTCTTTACATACAAACAAATATTTACATAAAATGCAGAGATGGATAGAGAGGAGGACAGACTTTTAAAACTTGCGCTTTGCTCTAAAATATGTTTCAGCAACGCAGTTTGTAACATGCCCTAGCGAGACCATGGGGTGTTGCTTAACTGAAAGGAGGAATATGTCTGGAAATTGGAGCTGAAACGTCACCTCCCCACACATTAGTTCTTTGAAGCTCAGAATTTAACAGCCATTTGTGAACTTGAATGAAAACATGGTTAAAAGAACAGAAGGGTTATAAAACAAAAATGGTACTGTGAAAACAGCAGGTCAGTTGTTTTGGCAGTCTTCACTCCCCCATCCCGTCTCCCCTTCCCTGCAGGAAGCAGTATCCCCCTCCTCCCTTCCCCACAGGGAACTGAAGTGCCTGCCCCATCCTCAGCATGCCCTTTTCACAATGAACACAGGTTAGGTTCCAAGCTCAGCTGTCCTCCGGCCCATGTACCACTGCGACAGATGCCCTTGTGTGCCCACTTCTTGGAAACTGAGGGCCTCTGGCTCTCCCCTCATATGCAAAATGGATGCACATCATTGAATGTGCATGGCTGAGTCATGTGCTGCTGCACACCTGGGCAGCACAAAGAGCTAGAACATCCTACTTGGATTCTTATACAAATAAGGAATCTTGTGATCACAAGAGCCTTCTTCAGCTTTAAAAATACAAAATTTGACTTAAAAATATTCAGATAGTAAAAAAACCGAGTATCTGATGTGCAAGTCATATTCTTAAAGTGCAACTGAACAGCAAATACAAGTTGTGCCTTTTACAACCATTTTGATATAAAAAGGCCTTTTAACATTCCATTCCATTCCATGTATTTTTAATTAATGTGTATGTGCGATGTTAGCTCTTCATTCTCACTGCTGGAGGCCTTCAGCATAACCTAAAGAATTCAGGTTTTCCTGTGCAGTAGGGCATTACACCTTTAAGTGGTATATCATTCTTTGGCCAGCATCCCCCAGCAAGAAGGGGAAAAGTAATGATCTGGTATTTCTTTTTCAGGATTTCTTTCTGTTCTACAGCTCACATTCAATGATCTTTTGATAAAAGTTAGATGTAGTCCCTATACCTCGTGCATTATGAAGAGGACTGAGGCCAATTCTCTGTCTAAGACAGAACTTACAATAAACCTTATCTAGCTTCCCTCTTCCTTACCTCCTCCTCTCCAGTTTCCACCGGCCCCTCAAATGCAGGCTAAAGTACCACTGCCAATTTGAGTTGTGCAGCTGGCTCCTGCACTGGCAAATGGGGGGAATTCTGTATCCTGTTGATAAGCCAGCACTCTGTGATGCTGATGTAGCAGGTTATCACTTGCTAACAGGCACAGTAGCACTGCAGCTCCCTGTCTGCTTGGTTTCATGAGCATCTGGATTTAATTTGTAATGCCTTTGCAGAAAACACTAGGTGGGGATAAAAAGGAGGACACTTGAGGTGGAAAAAACATGTTTCCAGCTGAGGGAACCAGCACCACTCAGAGTCCTCAGGGACAGTCCACATCCTTCTTCAGCCTGAGGTATGCTCCTGAGTCAGATGTGAATTCAAGTTGTAGAGCCTGGCTTACAGAAGACCTCTTTGAAGAAGGTAGAGCCAACAGCAAGAAACCATGCAAACTTCTGTCCTGGGGCAAAAGAACAAAGGATGTTCACCCCTGCTTGGGTGCCTTGCACCAACAACCTAAGTTCAAACTGAAAGAGTCAGCACACTGTATGGATACACTTGGGAATGGGACACTTTCTCAAGGACACTGGGGAGCAAGCTTAGTACTTCTTTACCAAGAACATAGTCAGCATCCCAAGAAGGGAAAACCTCTTACTGCATCCCATTAAGGATGGGATGCATACCCAATGCACAGCACTATTCCAGCTCTGTGGGACAAGCTAAGGGTGCAGTGTGCTCAAGGAGTCTGTCAAACAGTGAATGGTGCTGAACTGCTCAGTGCATATCCTGCTCATTGCTTAATGTATGGTTACAGTCAGTACCCTCCTGGCTGAACAGCAGCTTTTCTAGCTGAGCCAACAGCTTCTTCCAGCAGATGCATCAGGAAATGTGCTATTTTTGTTTTCATGATGTCCCTCTAGCCATATCTCAGAGTCTGAGGGTCCCCTCTTTCAGTGAGAAAGAGACATATGGGATACTTCTACCTCACAGTTTCGGCTTTCTTGTTACAAAAATGTAAAATTTAAATAAATTATGGGCTTGTTAGTCCAACAGAGGGAATTCTCGGATGCAGAAGAGAAGTATGCTGGGAACACAAAAGGATTCTTACCACTCCATGACTGTGCCGGATTTTGCATCCTAGGGCAGGATGCATCCGTGGGTACATAAAGGCTGCCCTTGCTATGAAGCAGGGACCAATCTGCAGTAGTGTCTTTCTCTAACAGAGTTAAAACACTCCCCTCTGCAATCAAATATGTGTAACAAATTATTAATAAGAACACTAATAAATAGCCACAGGTAACAACATCCAGTAATTTAGAAGTGGAAGTTGTAGGATGCAGCAGGCACACACACCCATCACTCATCCTTTTTTTTTTTTTTTCTAAAAGATACAAAAATGAATCTTCTTTCAAGTATTAAAAAAATAAGTTAACTGACAATAAAGGGTCAAAGTGACTGAGGGCCCAGGCAGGTCTTAAGCTTCGTTTCCAATGTGCAAAAACAAAATACAGAGGAAAAAAAAAATAAAAACACTGAAAAGTCTTAATGGTGGTTCGGTCACTTAAGGGCTTCTCCTCTTAGGGGCCTAACAGCCAGGGAATGCCGCCTGGTAACACCTCTGCCCCAGCACACACCACTGTCCCACACAGTCAGTATTTTCCAGTGTCAAAACAGTCATAACAAAAACAGAATATAGAAGCCCACCAGCCTCTGAGCTGTGGCCATGAAGACTAAGGCCAGCAGTAGCTGTCTCTCCAGTGTGTAGCGAAGCAGAAGGGCATCTTCCGTCTCTCTTCTTCTCCCCTTGTTTCCCTACGAGAAGATTTAGGAGGCTATGATAGGGAGAGAGTCCTCTGATGCCCACATCTCTCTAAAAACCAGGAAGCTGAGAGTTCCATCACGCATACTAATAGTATCTTTTCTGTCTCATATTTCTTCATATCTGTGCATAATGATCAGCTGCAGGTTTCTTTGGTGGGGAGGAAGACTAAAGCAAAGAAAGTGCTGCCCTGGGCTTCTGGAGCTCTCTTGGACAGGTGACTCCATTTTACAGGCTGCTACAGGCTGCTGTGGTTTTCCAGAGAGGGTTGCCACTTCCCTCCCTTTTATTAGAACTGGTATAGTAAAACCAGGAAAGGAATAGACTGCCATAAATCCAGTTAAGGGTACTTCTTCCCTTAACCTCCTTCCCCACACGTGGATTATTCTTCTCCCTCCTACCACACACAATAATAGAGTCCATCGTATAGGACCTCAAGGAGACTCCACAGTCTCAACTCATTATCTTCAACTTGGCTTGCAGACAAGTAAAATGTAAGCTTCTGGAACCAACACACTTATCAAAAGGCTTCTGAGTGCTTCAGACCAAATCCCTGCATGCTGTCGGACCCCTCGGAGGTTTCCCCTTCAACATCTTCCTATCCATGTAATTCTGGCGAACTCAGGGTAGGCCAACTGGACAACACACACCAGCAGAGGTAAACGTGTCAAGCTCAGGACCAGTTCAAGCTAAAACCTTTGGAAAGCATGACTGCCTCCAGGTCCTTGTCTTCCTCTTTTTCTCGAAGCCGTTGCTCCTCAAGGAGAGCCACAAGAGAATCTCTCTGCTCCACTACTTCTAGCATCTCATTCAGGATCCTCTTCTCCTCTGAGAGCTCTGCATCTGTCTTCAGATGATCTACAGAGAGATAAAAAACTATCAGCATACACATGGCTAGAAATACACACATACAGTCTCTAAAATGTTCCCTGTTGCTCTCACCTTCTACTGCCATCCTCTCCCGGAGTTCCTGCTGTAATCGGCTCTGCCTGTCTTCCAGTTCTAGCTCCCGAGCACTGGAAGGGAAACATCAGGAACTCAAGTTCTGGGTATATTAAAATACAACATACATTGCTTCATACCATTCTCAATTTCTGATCCCCCTCCACGTATCTGCTATGCATCTTACCAATCTGTTTTGGAGCAACTAGTAAAATACCTAAGATATATAACTATATTTTTTAAAGATTTAAATGTACTTTTCAGCATCTCAGGTTCTTTGCCTTCAGCTAGGAAGTGCCATGCAGAAAGTTGAGAGGATTATGGGTGGGATTAAATCTAAAACAGTGTGAAGGAACAAACAGATGTGTGATACCTCTGTCTATCTGCTGCTACTTCCCGCCCTAAAGAGAAAGTGACTTACCAACTAAGAGACACGTCAGGCCACTGCCTTTACAGATTCCCATGCAGAAAACACCTCTGGGCTTTTCTGACACAGGCACTAAGACATCAGCTTCCATGCTGCCACGGTCAGCTGACACAGTCAAAACCAGTTTCCGTGATTTGCAGCACTGGGACTGAGAAAGCTTGCAGTTCCATTAACAGGAAAAAAGCCTCATCACCTGAGCCCAAATGAAGGGCACTGCGGTCTCAAGCCGGGCAGAGACGAGGGCCACATGGCAAAGGTGACTGAATTAGATGCTTCCAGCTACACTTAACAAAAGCAGAATCTACCAAAACCGGAAGGAGTCACACATTATTTCTACAGAGCCAGAAAACACTTGCATGAACAAGACTTGTTTTATCTAAAACCAGCTTGGGAATGGGTCAGAACTTTACACATACATCCATACTTCTGCATGTGCACAAATAATTGGAGCTTTCATTTCTTATTGCTATTACTCCTTCTACTACCAGTTTTCTGAAATGTGATTGGATTCACGTCTCAGCTAAGAATCGGCCTATGATACTCCTGACCTCCCAGCATTATAAGGGAAGACAATACTGACAGATCTTCCAACACTATTCCTAACAAAATCCCCCTTTTGAAGCTTTGTACATTCACTCACAATATCATCAGTTCAGACTCGTAGCGAACCAAGGCATTCTTCTCCTGCACCAGCTTGAACCACTCCTGCATCAGCTTGGGATCATCCTTCTTCCCCATGCCTGCCAAAAGAGAAACCTGGTAAGTGTTCAGAACGCCCTGCAATCCTTACAAGCCCGAACTGCAAAAACAACAACGGGGCAAAATGTGCAAAGAAAGCCGAGCAAGATGCTGCCAGAGCACTCCCAAGACAGGTCCATTCAGTTTGCCTAGAGCACATAGAAGAGTCAAGTCACCTCCAAAAGGATTCTTTTCTCTTTGGAGCCCGATTTTTATGTTTTTCTTTCTGATTTTCTTATGATTGCTTGTTTCTTCCTCACTCTTACTGCAGAAAGCCCAGATTTCTGTATGCATTCCACTCTTCTGTTCATTAGAAGAGCTTTGTAAGTCCTCACATGCCAGCTACTTAAATATGTGCTCATCAGAAACAGATTCAATTGCCACTTCATGTGTTTTGCCTTTATTTTCTTCAGTTGCATGTCCTCAATCTTTTCCTTTACTGGCCACAAGTAACATCTTGACTTTTCTTTACTTCAATAGCCCAATACATCTTTTCTGACTGCTGCTCCTAGCCACATGTATCTACCCACCTTGAAGATCCCCTCTGCAACAGTGAACACAGAAACTACTTATTTGCACATCAGCACTGGAAGGAAGAGGAATCCCCAGAGATATCTGCCAATATCAAAGCAGAATAAAAATACCTCGGGCCTTGGCCACCTACTACAAAAATCTTAGTTGATATTTCATTCATTTTAAAGCTAACTCCTAAACTTACTCAGCAGTCCTGTGATGAAACTCGTATCTGTCAGGAGTTACGTGGAATAAATTGCAGAATGCTGTTCCCCAAAGCTTTCTGTTGATATTTATCAAATGCAAGAGCTTACCAGGGAAGCTCCTCCCAACAATCTCCTGGCCTCGGCCACCGATTCCACTCTGAACTACCTGCAGATGAATGCTGTGAGTTGTATCAGACACCATCAAGAACAGCAGCAACGCGCCTGCCTGCATGGAAGTGGAGGCAGGAGTAAGGCCTCAAATCAAGCTCAACAGCATTTTCAGGTTGCTGCATCCTATCACCTTGCACTGCACATAACCAAGGCATCCTAAAGCAACTAACATCCCTGTCTATGTTTGTTATTATGGATAACACACGTACACTTTCTACATCAAGAGCAAAACTTCTCAAATAGTTATTTTGATGTTAAAAATAATCAAGCAGCAAGCTTACTATTCAAACTTCTGGAAACACTTCACAAGTACCACACTAATGGCTAATGGTTAATTCCAACCTGTGCCCCACCTCCACCCTTAGGATCTCAAGAGGAGCGCAGGCCTGAAGTTAAGCAAAGGAGAGCCTGCAACTCCTGTCAAAATGTGCCTTAAGCTGAGAATATCTGCCTTTGAAAAGTCAGAAGAGCAGGCCTCTGGGGAATCCCAGACCTATTGTACCACCTTAAGAGCCTCTGGCTCCCTGGACTTTCTGTGGTGTTTTGCTCAGTACAAGCATTCCTTTCTGAGCATCTCTGCACAGTATGCCCATGTGGCGACAGGAGAGGGAAACCATACATGCAGATGTCCAGTGCTATGGCGCCATGAAAACACTGGGAAGCCTCCCCATCCTTCCCAATGCCAGGATGTATAGAAAACAAATGCCTCTAAGAAAAATCCAAAACCACAATGCTACTGACCTGTGAAATAAGTATTCAGTATTTTTAAACAGCCAATGAGCAGAGAAATAATGGGAGGATTGGAGAGGGAGCACTGACAACTGATGTGAGGGAGACCATGGAAAGCAGAGTAAGTGGTTAGCAAAATTACACCATGAACACATATAAACAACCCCTTCCCCCATGCCTTGGCAATGGAAACTCTACAACACACTCCATTTTGGGACAGTTAAAGAATGCGCTCAGCAAGACAGATGAAGGAAAACTGTTCTAGCTTAAGGTTTGTTGGTTTTTAAAGTTCAAGGATGATTTTGCAAACCAATCCTTATAAAGACACAGTATTCCCTTAATCCATATGTACTAATTAAAAGGCCAGATTTAAGGAAGCAGATTGTCTTCCCATACCCCACCTTCTAAATATCTTTCAGGAGGTACAGAGAAATTGAATCCACCAAATGAAAACAGAAACTTGAGTATGACATACCTGCTCCCACCGCTGCTGCCCAATGTCCCTCCCAGTCGCTATACCTTCCCTAGAACAGCTGGGACTCGCAAAAGGGATACTGTATTCTGTAATAACTTGCCATAGGCTCAGAGAAGCTGTTTACCAGGTTGCTACTGAGAAGGTTGGTTTGGGGACACAGCAAGAAAAGAGCTAGGGACAGGGCTGGGGGCTTTGTGTTCATTAGCTGACTAGCGCTACTATGACAACCCAGCTGTGGTCGAGGAGAACAGGGAGCGTGTGAGGTTACATTACCTTCATGGGCACAGCAAGGGCAGAAGGAGAGAGGTCTACGACGTGGTGTCCCGGCATTGGGCTCAACTTCAATAGGACCAAACGAGGAAGAGGAAGGAGAGGAAGAGGAAGTTGGAAGTGGAACGGAAGAGGAGGAAAGGAGTGAAATAAAAGACAAGCAAAGGACAAAAAGCGTAAGAGTGAGAAAGTAAGGAAACACAAGAAAAGGAAAGAAAAATACAAGAAATGGAGAAGCAGAAACAAGGGATACAGTCTACAGATGAATAATGTCTCTAATAAGCACAGATAATGGGTCAGAGGTAGGCTGAGGTACTGGTGAACTCTTACTGAGCTGCACAAATACCAGGCAGGAGATAATCATTCCTGCACTTTTACCTAACATACATTTTCAAATCACATGGTCTTTAACTGAAAGGTTTGTGAACAAGATGTCAGGATGAGCAGAGACAAATATTTAACCCCTGCTGATGAACGTCAAATTTCAAGCAGGGTTACAAAAAGTGTCACCTGTATGCATAAAACACCAGCTGTAAGCAGCCACCCTACATTAAAGCTTTTTCAGGACCATGCTCTTACCACTGTGGCAGCATCCACTGATGGTAAAAGTGTCCATTTTAATGGGAAATAGTTTCTTCAGACAGGGAACATCACAGGGAGAATCTGATTAATGTGGAACCAGCCTGGCAGGTTCTGCTGTGTCAAGTATGGTGACTACACAGGTGTGCTCAGCTGGACTGTTGTGCTTAGACGGGAAAGGCTTTTACATTGATAAAAAAGTGATTCACATCAGGGTCTACAGGAGCAACGATCAACTGAGTACTTTGCAGATTAAAATGATAAATTTACAGCTCTCCCTTGACATTCTCATTTCACAAAGCATTTTAAAGCTTACAAGTCCTGTTAGTATCTATATCAGCTATACTTACTAATACTGTTAGAATTAGTATCAGCTGTACTTAACGTTGCAGAGATAAACAGTATGAAATAACCAATGTCACTAATAGTTACTGGAGACTGTATGCACCAGGAAGGTGATGAGCCTGAAACATCAAAGCTAGCAGAATGGTAACTGCTGTGAATGCACAACTACATTTATAAAGAGGAGGCATTTCTGTGTTGGGAACTCCACAGCAATAACACGGTCAGAATAATGCTTATTTTGGAGAAGTCACCATTTTGATATACATGGGTTGGAGAAAGTTTTACAGACCCAGACTACTGGTGAACTTGGAAGGCTTTAGAAGGGACCATCACAGAACTAGACCAGCACATGGAGGACAAACTGAAGTTAGAAAGAGAGCACATCAGCTTCAAAGCCTGTGACTGAGCAGTGTGGTGCTCTCAGACAGGAAGAAACCTCAATACTGAGAGCAGGAAGGGGCAACATTAGGAGAGGTGCCACAGCTGGCCATGTGACAGTTACAAATAAAGCATCGTACCGATGTTATCTGACAGTACCAGACCTTCAATTATAGTTGTTCTGAACTTTCCAACTTCTTCATTTAAAATTAAAAAATACTAGGGCTTTTTTTTTTTTTATGATTGCCTTTTCACAGATTAGGTTACAAAACAAAAACAAACAAGAAAACACCCAAACTGCAAAGGCACTGTGAAGAATATGTTTCCACACAAAGCAGAGCATTTAGTGCATGATGCCTACTATATTTTTTATTTCACATCCTATCTGATTCAACATTAATTCTTCTATATAAGCTTTAATACTGTAACTTGGCCTAACCACTGTTTTCGGGGTGGTCAGGAGATGGGCATTTAGCTGTATGTAAAAATCCACTGCTGTTCTTCAGGGTTTGAGATTTTATTCAGAATTGTGGGGCAGGGATGGGAGGATGTTCCTATCTCAAATGCAGCTATGTGTATAAATTTCAAAGCACGGATGTATAGACTCGGTGAGGAACTCCCAACTTGCTATATTTGATCTGAAAATAAGTAGCTGGTATGTGAACACACCATTCACCTCATTGACATGACCACAAACTACTAATTTTAGTCATCAGTGAAATGGTCTGACACTAGAAGAGATACCATTCTTGGTCTTGAGTAAAAAGCCACAGGGCTTACACAGCAGAGTTCACTCCCTGCAGTTGTGTTTTCCTCCTTTGCTGTTAGTTGTCCTATTTTTTAACAGAAATATTATTCTCCCACTCTTGTCTAAGGAGAATTTGTCCTTGAATCAAGTTACAAAACCCACAGTATTTCTAATAGTCCTGCTACTGGAAATGCTAACGTTACTTTTCAGCAAGATAATGAAAATAACCTATACCGTTAAGATCCTTTCCAGCTACTCCAGATGTAAATTATAGTTGCATCAGTGCACGTATGGTCATTACAACCGCTTTGGAAACAGCTTCTGTGCAGACCAGGATAATTAGCAAGGCTTTAAAAAGTGTTCCTTATGTACTGGAGGTCCTTAACAGCAAGGACAGAGCTAAGCGCAATTCCAAAACTTACCTCCTATAGTTCTGTAAAACTGTAAAAATTATGATCTAAAAGTGTCATAATCTGAAGCTACAAGTATTATAGAACATATAATGCAGCAGAATTGTAAATGATTTTTTAGAAACTCCTTTCAGGTGATAGTCATGAAAACTGCCTCTCTGCTCCTGCTAGTAAAGAGTATCACATGTGTTACAGACACTTAAGCAGACTGAAACAGGAACTTGCTAATTTTAAGAGAAAAACTATTTTATATTTCCTGAAAGGGAAAAATATTTTTCACTGACAGGAACCAACCTTCAAGTGTCACATGTTTCACTATCCTTTCAGATGAACTCCTCGAACTAGATCATCTTAAGGTCCTTTCCAACCCAGACTGTTTTATGACTCTAAGAAAAGGCCTCTTTAACTAGTTCAGAAGCAGAGCCGGGGGAAAAAACAGAAGATCACTTGATGAACAGACAAAGCGTTCCCTCAGCCAGCTGACAATTTTAGACAGTGAATGTATCATCAGATCCTTCACATTCCTGTTTATTCACATTCAAGGTTCATTTTTAAAAAACACAACTTCAGAGCACGAGCTCTCACTGTGTATGTGTATGCTGAAGGACAATCCTGGGAAAAGGCTGAACTCCTTGTCCAGTACTATCAAATAGGACAACTATAACAACACCCTGTTTCACAGTATGGTGTTAAAACCTGTCTCATCTACTTTGCCCTTATCACTTGTCCAATCACATTATGGAAATCCTTACTTGTCTTCTTATTTCTCCCAGTGCCATTACTAATCCTGCAGTAAATATTATTCTTATATTATTGGTTAAAGAAGAGGAATCACCACCTCATGGTCTCATTAAATTAAAACCATGCTCATCCCAGCAAAGCAGTTTTCCTTGCCATGGAGTCATGGCCAGATGGGAAAAACTCTTTTGTCAAGCAAATTTCAAACAATCTCCTTTCTGTTTAAGTCTCTTCCACCACCAAAAACCCAGGCCAGGTCTGGCGACACAGGTTTTTATCCACAGCATGGAACATGCACTGCTGGCAGCAGCAATATAAACTACCCACTGCCCTGCTGAAGTGCTTCGTTTGGAAGGAACTGAAAGGCAGTAGAACCATTTCTGTGGCCATTCACTTTTTAGGTTCCCTCTGTGCTATCAGCAAAAGTCTGAGGTGCAACTATAGCTTCTGGACAGAAAACTACCACTTTTTTTTTTTTCCTCAGAGAGGCAAACCTGCCAACAGACTGCATTAATCACAAGCTGTGCCACAGGCAACTCTTCTGAAGGTGTGTAAAGCCTGCACAGCAGAGGCCAGCAGCCCAAGTGAGCATGTGGGGTGATCGGTACAGAGCTGGGAACTGCAGCTCCTTGAGGAGTGTGTCCCAGCTCCCAAGCACACTGAACATCCTGGAGAGGTAGAAGCTCTGCCTAGCAGATTAGCCATCTGCTAGACATCAATAAGGTGATTGGAATTATTCAATAAGGTGACTGGAATTATTTTGCCTCTGTGAAAAGAAGCCTTCCCCAGAGCCTTCTGGGAAATCTTTCATGCAGTCATGACAAGACCTTGTTTGTCACAGCACTCTTGAGAGACTGCAGACTTTGCTATGGCAATGGAAACCAAGAGCCATGGCAAGAATAAACACCATAGCTCCAAAGTCTCTTCAAAACAAGGAACAGAAATTGTATAGCCTCGATGGAACATACCTCCCTTTTCACCGTAGGTTGTTACACAAGCTACACTGGATTGTTGTTGTCTTTTTCACTTTTCATTTACTTGTTATTTAAAGAGCAATACTTCAGACTGGTTTTGTCCTTTTTTGCTGTAGATACACAACACTTCATAATGTGAAGCACAGTAGTAAAAAATGATAGATCAAGATGAAGAAAGCACAGCAGAAAGTCTGGGGTGGCAGACACCATTATCACCAAGCTATAGCTCACAATGATCCCCTTCACTATTTGCCCATGCACTGTGGTATGAGAGCTGTGATAACGTCTGAGGAGTGGTGAGCCACTGCAAATCAAAATGATTTTTTACAGATACACCAAATGGTGTCACATCCTTTGCAAGCTTTGCATCCAAAGACTTTAATTTCTATACTGCTGACTAACCACAGCAGTTTGGAAATCAGCAACACCAGGCAGGAAATCCAGCTCTGAGGCTAATCTCAGTTCTATGGAACCATTATGCTGGCACTTGACATCACAAACTGAGAGCATGACACTTCAGAAATTCTTATTGTACTACAAATTCTCTTGCTCATTCAGTGGGCAGACTAAGAGCTCCGATTTTAAATCAGTGCTTAAAATAAAGCTCAGTTCACATGAGATCAGTAAGACAACTGTGCACTGATCACAGGAAATATCCTCTTTCCCACCTTTTAAAAATCAGTTACGTCAGAAACAATAGTACTAAAAAATTAAGCATCCCAACTCTACTGTTTGGTGAAACTGTTCAGCAGCAGTGTTGTAAAAGAACAAGAACAGAGAAGGCCATGTCTTGGAGAACAGCATCTGCACACCTGCAGGTATTATAAAGTTGAGAACAAGGATTGTCACAACTATCCCATCAGCACATCACTCAGTGTGTCTGACTTAACAGTTTACTAAAACTGGCAAAATAACTATCCTGTAAAGTACAATCACTAGAAGAAACCTGGGAAAAACAGACCACTGAACTGTCACACAAACTGAACCACACCTTTACTTGTTCAGCAAAAGAGAGGAATGAAAAAAAAGGTGGGGAGGAGAAAGAAAAATAGGGAAAGCAACAGCTGGAGCAGGACACACACACAAATGGCGGCACAGAAGTGTTCTGCTTCTACTAGACCTCAAGGCACTTCGAAAAGCAGTCAGTCAGTACAGTCTTGCACTGACCCTCTCTCCCCAGACTGTTTGTGTGTGCAGTTGTGAGAGGCGTGCAGCAGGTAAACAGCAGGTAAACAGTAACTGCTTGGCTTCCAGTACTCCCATTATACTTAACAAGTACATAATGAAGTATATACTTAACAAGTATATAAATGCTTATCAAGTGCTCTTTCCTGCTCCACATTTACAGCAAAGAAAACACGTTACCATTCACTTCAGTGGCAAAAGCAGCTGCAGACTGTGAAAACAATGTTTATCTCACAACTCCACTCCTCCTCCAGGACAGCCGTGTTTGCCAATCACAAGAATAGCACTGTTCCTACTTGAGTATATCAGACTCCAGCCCTGCAGAGTTAGATCTGCATGTCTTTATAGGACCTACTCAGCACAAGTATTTTGAAGAAATTTAAATTAAAAGTGAAGTTGTAGGAGACTATGCTTTAAACAAACATTAAAAAAAAACCAAACCATAATCCACACTTCCCCCCTGCCCCCATTTACCTGTTGTTTATAAGGCTCTTATCAAGAAGGAAGAATTTATGTCTGAAATCAGCACTCTCAAACACACCAGCTCTCTTCCTTACATCACTCTTGCCTGCCTCAGCACACTCCAGCCAAAAGCAAAACAAGACAGGAGCGTGGGACTGTTTCCCCAGTGATTCCCTGGTGGGTGCAAGGAAAAGGAAGCTGCTCATTTGGATGCAGAGGGAACAAGGGAGGTGCTTTCCACAGGCAGCAGAGCGAACCGGTGAGTAAGGAGGAACTGAGGCAGGGATTAACTAAGAAAGGAGACTAAGAATGCAAATGACTGAAGGAGAAGAGGGAGAGGAGAGGGGGAAAAAAGGGTAAGGGATGAAAGAAGGTGGCAAATTTGTGGAGAAGATACGATCTACAGTTTTCCAGACAAATAATGCTGGGTAGAAGAGGGAGTAGAGCCTAAACATTTTGGAAGAAGGCCAGAGGCAGGGGTTGAAACTGTGGGGACTGAGTCAGTGGGAAGATCAGGAACAGTGAAAGACTAGGAACAACTAGGGGGGAGGAACAGGTCTGAAGGGTAAATACTAGGATTTCTTTTTCAAAAATGTAGGATTAAAATTAAATGCCTGAGAAGCAGAAAACTGGGACTGAGAGTGAAAATGGAAATGAGGTAAAGAACTTTGGATGGAAAAGGACAGGATTAGGGCAAGGACTATCCGGAAAGAGGGAATAAAAAGGACAAAAAGTGTATATCCACCAGACCACTGCGTCTTTCCAGTGTCTGGCTCAGAATCCATGTTTTCAAGTCTCACTATTCCACAGCTGCCAGCAAACATCTGTGAAATTCACTGACTGTGTCCCATTTCCTCTCCATAAGGATCTACATAGAGGATGACAACCTAGCATTGCTACTAGTTATCCCACACAGACATGGAGCAGAGTTCTGTGCAGAGGATCTAAAAGTTATAAATCTGTTGATATATCACATCTTAATACAAAAATCTTAATTTCAATTGACTTTGCAACCTTTGAAAAGTTCTTTTACCATAGCTGCATATCTGATATACACACAGGCATAATTACTCAGAATTGAAATGTGACCATCTGTAGTGTGAAATGAAACATCTGCTTTATGGCAACGGTACATGACATTTTACAACAGGAAGAGAGGATTATGGCATCTGAGCAGAGCAACGGAGGTAGTTAAGATAGCCATGTGCAATACTGCAAACTGGAACTTGACCAAGGATGTCAGAAGTTACCACTCCCTTGCAGAAGTTGTTGCGCAATCTGTAACAACTAAACGAAATGCAACTCTCATTAGTGTAAAGAAAATCCAGAATAAAGTAAATGGCTTAAATCGTTCCAAAATTATCACCAATTTACAGACAGCTTTTCAAAGTTTTTTTGCCATTCTGCTTATCATTCTACTGACAGCATGACTCTAGAATCATGCCCATGCCTCAGAGACACAAGTTGCCAGTAGAATAACAACTGTGCAGTCATCCTAGCTGCTTAGAGCACTCAGCAGGACCATGCAGCCACATGGTGCTCCAGGGATTTTTATGGCACTCCACCAGATACAGCATCCTGCGCAGACATGTTAATTTTGAAGCTGAGCTCTAAATCTGCCACTGAATAGTGACAGGTATCCTCAGAGCAATGTATATCCCTTCTGGCAAAAGTGTTCTGGCAGCCCCAAAAGGAAATACAAAGCAAATTACAGAGGCAACAAAACAGTACTATAAAGCCACTTACTCCAGGCAGGCTATACTGGCTCATTGCATTTAAAGGGATACTGCCCAATACAGGGTTTTCAAGTTCATTTTGAAAAGGTATTTTTGAGATGAGCAGAAACTTGATGTAAGTTTAAAATGTATCAACCATTTCTAAATAAATGTGAACATTGTCTCTGACTGTTGGAAGCCTCCGAGTCACCATATAAATAAAATCAGCCTGTTACAGAAGATCAAAAATTACCACTGTGGGATGACTGTCCGAGTTCAAAGAAATGGAAAAGGCAAACATGCAAAAGATTAGCAATAATTTCAATTTTCAGTTAAGATTTTCTCCAATACAGTACTTTCAGTGACAGTGTCCCTTTAAGTAAATATTATTTTGCTTTTCTTAAAGCCTCTACTAGTGATTTTGATGGGATAGCTGTCTCTAAAGAAGCATTAGGAGAAGCAGGAGGAGGGAGAGGTATAGTGGAAATAGCATTAAACAGGGATAAGGGTCTGTTAAGTGTAATTCAGCATCAACCCTTTTACAGCTCCTACTCTATCCACATATAAGTGTGGGCCAGCCCTGATGGACGTAACTAAGAAGAGGGTCTCAAAGTCTCCCTGCAGAAGATATCCCAGGAAAGGATGGCAGAAGAACTGAACAGTGAATGATGCACAGGGCTAGCAGCAGACTATCACATCAAAATTAGCACAGGGGAACTGGGCAACAAATTAGGTCTACTAAGGAGGAAAATCTTCCATTTTGAAACTTGAACTTAGGTGGATATTCTTAGCTCAAGTGTTTGATCGTCATTAAAAGCCTATTGTGTCAGGACAATCTGGAGTCATTGCCAACAGACAGCTACAGGTAGATACTATGTGGGACAGCCTCCCCATGGAGGAGTAAAAAAGCCCAGACAGTTAAAAGCCTGAGCAAGATTGTTTGAAGGATAAAAAGCAGAACACAATGAAATCAGGGGAAGACTTCTAATGATGTGTCTTGGATCCGGCCTAGAGCGTGTGGATCTATCTTTCACTCTGTGGAGCTGGTCAGTAATGCACTCCCTCAACAAAAACACATCTTAGATCAAGGAACTTTATATTCTGAAAGACAAAGGAAATGAGACCCTCAGATGACAAGGCAACCAAGCAGAGTTTGCCTTCTCTTCGATCTGCTGACAGATGTGTCCATTTTATAAGAATAGATTCAGGACAATTAAACTAGCAAAGGGAATTCTGATTTTCAAGATGGGCAAGTGCTAAACAAATGCTGTTTGAAACCCAAAAGTTATCTGCCTACTAAGGGATTCAGGAAGTAACACTAAGGAAATGCAGTGTCATGGTACAGAGTGATGACCAGACTATAATCAGTAAGTGAAAATAAGAGCTAAACACTAACACGTGTTTAGCACTAAATGGGACATTTAAAAAAAAACAACAACCTAGCAAGAATATTATTAGCTGTGTAATGATGCAAACTGGGATGACTGGAAACTCTAACAGCAGATTCCAGCAAAAAAATGACTGGAAATCTTAACAGTAGATTCTTTCCTAACCAAGACAAAACAAGGAAGAAGAAGTATCTGTCATCTGCAGGTGTTTCCAGAGTCCCTTGAAGAAGCATTTTGGTTTTGTTAGATCATCAACACACTGGCTTTTTTGGAATAAGCAAATGAGCCTCAAGGGCAACAGGGAGGCAATGGCATGCCAAAAACTGCCTTTACAGTGCTGTCAGCTCTTGGGAGCAGGTCAGTTCTGCTGTCCCCTTCACATTAAAATATTTTGCTAAAGAAGTTTTCAGTAGTAGAGCTGAACTTTGCAAAGGAGAGGCAAAAAGCCAGCGTGGCCTTCCACTGCTAGCAGGGAAGGTGCCTGGAGTGAAAACTGTAAGTACTTTTTGAAATAAGCACTGTGGAAAATAGACCTTACACATGGTTTGTGGAGCATGCCAGGATCTCCTCTTCCTGAGCTGGAAAAGGGGTTCTGCTATAGCCAGTCATGTGCAAGGGCTGTTTCTTCTTTGTTGTGAGGCAAGGATGGGAGAAGTAGGTGAAGGGAGGGGTGGGGAGGAGTGTCAGCAGGGTTAGTGTCAGCAGGAGGTTCAGCCATACATACCACCCAGATGCAAGTCGATGAGGTCACTGTAATAAGACTCTCCCCAATAGTCTACAACAAGGAATTGGTGAAGACAGAGTTATTGAATCAGATACCCCCACCCTAGCCCCACACAATCAAAGCAATACATGAGAAAAAGACAGAGACAAAAACAAAGAAAAGGCAAACAAGAAACATGCAGCTATACACCTGGGCACATATATGTATGTATATAAAAATTATATGCGTGTCTTTACGTATACATATATGTATACACAAACACAAATGTATCACAAACATATATACTGAGATGAGGAGAAAATTCCCAGCAGGCAGGCAAGGACTTCCAAAGGGGAAAATAAAAAAATCAAGTCTACAAAGGGACATTTTCACCTATTTCCATCTGCACCAGTACCTGACAGTGATGTCTTTCCTGTTCTTGCTGAGAAAAGCAGAACTAATCTTGTTGCTTTCATGCTGAGCAATATGTCAGAAGGAAACAGTGCAGTTTCTTAGGTCAGCTGCAGGAAAGGTGTAAAGGTTGATTCCTTGGAGGTGACCGAGTGGAAGCGACTGAGTGTGTGTACAGCACATGGGTGGAAGGCACTGACCAAGCACTGACATGAATGGCAAGTGGGTGTCTTCCTGCTAATGCAGTATCTATGCCAGAGAAAAACCTGCACAGAAGTGCGTGGAACAGAGGCACGTACGTCCACAGCTGCTAGAGACGGGTACACCATGAGTCTAGCACCGTGTAATGTTTCTCTGGGGAACAGACAGATGGGAGTACTGAAGCACTGTTTCTCACTGCATATGAGTCACTCGATGTAAAGAGATGGCTCTTAAATTTTTCAGCATTGATCTGACAGTAGGAGACATTTTCCCAGCTCAAAGTTCATGCTAAATGAGGATAAGGGAGCAAAAAGAGGTTCCAGAAATTTCCGATTCAATATGTTTTTAAGTTAATAATTTTAAAAGTAAAAAAACCACACAGGAAATCAAAGCCACCAGCATGTCCAAACAGGTGAATACACCATAATACAAAGTACCGTTAAATTGAGAGCAATCCCATTCAGGGTGTCCCTTGGGACACTGCAGAAAAATGGGGAAATTCTTCACTGACATTATCCTACTGTGTTTTTGCAGGGAAATACCATGATGCAAAATAAAGCAGGGGAGGGAGGAAGGAAATGAAGGATGACAAAAGCTTAGATCACCTGCAGATGACAAACTTGCCACCTGAAATAGAGCTTACATTCCAAGTCATTCATTCTTGCTATGAATGTGACTATCAGAGTCTGAGATTTTCAAAGATATTCACAGAGAACAGATTAAGGCAATTAAGTCATTGTAGGGTGTGAGATTATTTTCTGAATCAGACAGAACAGACTGAACATTCACCTTTTACAAGAATGAAAGATCAAGTGCACCTTGCCTGAGGCTGAGCTATTTTGAAAAGGAAATGGGGACAGACAAGAAAGTGTAATTACTTTATCAAAATTCAAGTTGACAGTGACCTCCAAAATGTTTCCAAGTCTGACTAGTTGAGTAACTAGTATCAACATGTACACATTCAAACTTGACAACTATCAGATAATGAGTGAAATTCCTGGAGTGTTGAGCTTTCTGTACCTATTGCTAGGATCTAAAATTAAGTGTAACCTCTCAGGAAGAGAACAGGGCATAACTGTGAAGCAGTGTAAGTCACTTGGCAAGAATGGATGACACGAAATAGATGGAAAACAGAAGCAAAATAAGTAAACAAATTCTGCCCTCTAGCACTGGTTTTTGTTCTTACCAGTCCAACTGAAAAATGCTTTTTCTAAAAATACAAAGAGGTCCAGAGGTCAGAAATCTGAGGAGTTAAAGCTAGTGGAAGACCTCTACAGAAGCAAAATTGGAAATTCTTCAAGATAGGAAAGATAAGTAAGAGGCAGCAGCTAAAAGATGATAAATGACATCAAGAAGTAGTTCAAATGGTCTCATCTATCTTTTTCTATAATAGAAAAGAATCCTAAGAAATTACAGAATTCTGCTGCTTCTGCTAGGATTTTCAAGTAGTAGAAAACTACCACTAATATGAAAACTCTGTATTTAAATGCCCAAGTCAGTGACTGATTTGTTCTTTCCCTATAGAGAGGAAAGCTGACTAACCCATGCTCTCCTAGAACTGGTTGCTGTCTATGAGAGAGAGACAGCCATGACTTCAATCCTGCATTGTAATCCTTCCCTATTTATGTGGACAGAGCATGTGCACAGAAGGCACACCTGTAACCCTCCCCCATTTTCTTCCTCTTGTACAAGCTTATTAAAAGAGATGGTATTTTTTTCTTTTTATATAAACTGCTGTTCCCTTTTTAAGCTTTTTGTTGCATGGTTTCATTAGGGGAGGGACTGATAAAAGGCAAGAGTGTGACTTCTTTACACAACAGTACCTGCTGAATGCAGTGGTCACTGTTAGGTCAGTGTCTTAGGCAATGCAGATGGCAAGAACATAATACTGTCCTCCTGAAAAATTAATGGTTATTGGGGGCAGAAATTAATTGCAGTTGTAGAATGTGACATTGAAGACTTTAAATAGAAGAAATTCAGTTATTTTATTGCCAACGTACATAACATGTCCATGCAAGAGTGGCTAGAGAGGTGAACTATGGAGTGAATTTATACTCTTGTGAGTTGACACAGGTTAGAACATGCTTCTCCCCTCTCCCAGATGTTTGGTTTTAGTCCTCTGAATAACTGGAAGAGTTGAGACTAGTGAATTCTTTCTGACTGACTTAAACTTCCGTAACCAGAATGTATAATCTGTTGGTAGAAACATGTTGCAAGAGCAAAGCGTACCCTAGGGGCTTCCCAAAGAAAAAATATTCACTTTACAAAGAGTGATGCACAATCTGATCATTCTTCTAGGAAATTCACAAATACACAAGCTCATCTAAGACTGCTGCCATTTTGGGAGAACTGGGAGTGAGAGACTAGTTATCCAAGGGTTTAATTCTGCAGTCTTCCATACAAAAGAGCAATTCAACTCTTAACTCTGCCCTCTGAATGTTCTTTAGGCATTCTGCAATGAGAGAATATTCTATCATGAAGAATGTTCTCTCAATTGCTAAGACTTCCCACTTGTGCTGACATGTCTTATTTCAAATGCATTTAAGCAGCTGAGTAACCAAGACAGACTTCTAGATGGAAAGAAAAAGAACAATGAGAGATAAGAGAAGTGGTTATAGTAAGTGCAGTAACTGGCAGGCCAGAGAACAGAGTAGTTCCACACAGAAATACACAGCATGAGGAAGGAGGCACCCCCGCCAAGAAAGGTTTTGCACAAGGTTATTTTTTTGGACCCACAAATGAAAAAGTCAGATTACCAAACCATTGAAGTCCTCAAGATTGTTCTCCACACCTGTAGTACCTATTTGCTTTGGCAACCACTCAGTCCTGCTGCTTTGGCATACCCTTATGAAGCATCAAACATACCTAATCCTGGCTGAGCAGTAATTGGTGGGAAGTCAAAACAGACTTTTCCTCTGGTGAACCTTCACTGCTTAATCAAGTTCCATCTTCACAGGCACAGCGGTAGCTCTTCAATGCAGCAACAAGCTAAAACATTTTCCAAACACCCATTCCACTTCTACCATTTCTGATCTCTGACCCTTGCAATCAGGTACATAACCCTGGGCCTGCCGGGTATACGCACACTGTATTTGCCTGTTGGATATCTGACTCCTTGCAATTGAAGATGCTTTTTTCCGAATCTTTGTACTGCTATCAGCATTATCTGAACGAAGTACTCCTCCACTCATATGCCTGCCAGATCAAATGATACTCGTTTAATTTCAAGTACATATATCATTTAACAGCTTCACATGGATACCTTTCGGTACACATGTGCATTTCTGTTCTGCACAATTCTGTCGGAAGGAGCCAGTGTGCTGGGCTGTGCAGTGAGGAAGATGTTCTGTGATGGTCCCTTGTAAGGACACTACCTTGATAATCCAACACAACAGAGAAAGCACACACAATTTCACAGTTACTTCCTTAACATACAAAGTGGGTTTTCTTAATGTAACAGCTTTATGTGAATTGCAGCTAGGAAATCCCTGCAATTTTCTAGCTGTAATATCCAGTAATATGCAGAAACAGTCAGACAGCCATTATTAATAGTTGAAGAATTTCCTCATAAGCCTCAGGCAAAGACAAGCAAACTAAGTCTCTGCCGATAGGGAAGTCCCAGAATCAGAAGAAATACAGGAAAAACAAGGCTTCAAAAAGAAAGTAGAAAAGGGAGAATGGATTCACATTGGACTTTATCTCTAGGCTATAAAGGTCCAATTGCCTTTAAAATCCAAGCAGCTATGGACTACTGCACAAGCACTTGAAAAGAAAACATGAAAAAGCAAACCAAGTTCTGATGGATACCTGCTTCTCCCCGAAGGGCCTTCTCCACAGCAACTCCTCTCTCCTCAAGTTGCCTCTGCTTCTCTTCCACTTGTTCAAGCTGCCGCTGGATGATCTGTTCAGAAAAGAATGGAGCAGAGCCTCAGCAACAGCAATTCTCCTGCTCTGTCTGCAGCACTCATCCAGCACTATGTGACTTCAGTCAAATTGGTCTTTTCAAAAACAGGTGGTTGTATTCAAAACTACACTGCTTTAAAAGCTAACTGCTTCAAAAGCTAGCATCATGGTCCCCCCAGTAACAACATCCTATCCCTTAATTTTGAAAACACCTTGATACTGACTTATTTGCTACAACTCCAATGACATTCCTAAACTCTGAAGTGAAAGGTGATGCTATTCAGTCAGCTGAGCCCTTACCTTGAGTTTTAAACAAATTCCATCACCAATAGATGATGCCAGCAGTTTTCCAACAGAGAATCTGTTGGAGAATGAATTAAAGATTCATTTGGTAACGCTTCACGGAGCAGCATAATCTAGCAAAGCAGTGACAGATGCAGTTTCATCAGGTATTATCTGACTACCACTGCTCCATCAGTGCATGATGCTTCACTCCTCTCCAGCTAGAAAGGTATAATGGTCATTATTTTTCCTCACTGTAAAACTCTCATGGCAGGTTTCAGCCATTCTTCCCATCTCTGTGACATTATATCAGCATTAAAATAAGGAGTAGGAGCAGGGACACTCATGTAGAAATAAAGAAAAGTTCTGTCTCTGGATCTTCTTCTGGCACACTCAGAGAAATGTCAAGATCATGGTGCTTTCACATACAGTTAACTGTCTGCCACTACAAGAAGACTGTGACACTACCTGAGCTCTATGTAACCTCTTTAGCTCCTCTTGCTTGGCTTGTCTACGGGCAGCTTTCTGTACTCGCCGGGTCAGCTTGGCATTCAGTTCCTCTTCTGTGTAGGCTCTCTGAAGGAAGGAAAACCAGAGGCAGATTTTATATGCATGGTCAGAGGTACTGGGGGAGGGATGACCATTTTCTCTTCCAAAATCTCAGAAGGGAGGTGTTCTGTCTTTACCATGGCTGTGTCAAAAGTCAAGTTTCTGTAGGCAAAGGTGTTCACAGTGCAGTGAGCAACAATTTCAGGGGCAAATCAGGAGTGAAAAAGCATATAAGCCAACTGCAAAGCTGTGATTTCACATAATATCCCACCTCTGACTTCCACTGCTAGTGGAAGTTCAAATCAATTTTCAAATCAACTCAATTTCTCAACAGATTTAGCCAAATGGATTTAATTAAATAAATGAGTGCCATATAGAGGGGTCACCTTGATCTCATTTTAAAAGAGGGTAAAGGCATGTCTATGTGAACAGTTACAGCAGTATAAGCTAAGAAATTATTTTAGACTAGGGAAGCTGGACCAGTATTCCTCTCTCCCTATTTCATTCTGGAGCAAGAACATTCGCAGTTGGAAGTTATACTGGCAAAACTGGAAAAAAACTACCTGTGTAAATTTGTGCAACTTTTCTATGAATCAAGAAGGCAAAAAGACATTTGAAAGCCGAATGACATTCTGGTGCGAGATGGGAAATCCCATCTCAAGAGCAACCGCACAAAATTGGCTGTTGTAAAACAGACCAAAGAATCCCTAAAGTAAAATTAGAATATTACAACACCAGAAGCCATCCGAAAGAAGAAAGGCTATGTCTATAGCCTTATATTTATATTTATGCCTTCTATTTATAGAAATAGAAAGGTATTTCCTCCTCCTCTTTTTTCCTCAGCGAAACTAGTTTAAAAATAAGTCTTTTTAAACATTACTGAAATGGGGTTTAATATCTTCTCAGTTGGTTGCATTGTAGTCTAGGAAGGCTTCCTCTCACAGACTTTTAAGAGTGTCAAAGAAACTTCACAACTGCATTAAGTGTACAGTGAAGAAAAGAGCTCTCTTCCCACATACATGTATGTGAGCTTTAAGCACATGTAAGCTGTGGAGAGATGTCTTCTACTTCTGGGAAGAGATCTTCTCCATGGACAATCAACTTTAAGGACAAAATGTTAAGGCAGACTACCCTGAAATTTGCTTTAGTTACAGTACTGCCACATTGGTCAGTCTATCTCTGGTTCACTGTTCTTAGTGAATAGAGTTTAAAGTAGGACTACAGCTCTGTTAAAAACCCCTCAGATAGGTGGTTAGCCACCACCATCGTTAAACCTCCAAAAGGTTAACGCTTTATTCTCTCTTTTTTCAAATACACAAAATACACAGTGATACCCAAATCAGAAGGTAAAGTGACAGAGGCTGTGACTTTCCTATTGCATGTAATACTGTTGTGACTGTGAAGACAGGACAACAAGAATTTCAGAAAGCAACAATATTCCTGAAACAGAAATGCAACTTCTGTCTTGATTTTAGCTGGATACAGGATTTCCCTAAGATTCCAATGAACTCAATGATTTTGAAGGATGCTGATCGAAGTGTGGTAATTCACTTGAACTCATAGTCTAAGTATTAAAAAAAGAATGTGCATACATATTCAACTGCCTTAAAACCTAATTTGTTCTGAAGCTCCAAGATCATCCACATCATTCTGTACAGTGGTGCGCTGACAGTGGCATGCATTCTAACCAGACAGAGCTTAATTTGGAGCCTAATGCATTCTGGTAGACAACCTCTACAAAGAATTTGCTGCCCATGTCTGCTAACATCTCACGCATGCACAGTCAATGATCGTGATGTTAGTGCACATGTGATGGGTAGCTATGGATTCAGTGGGTTAATATAGGGACATGCAATGCAACAATGGCCAACTAGTGGGAATGGAGACACTACCTTTGACGAATATGATCTCTTGAATGCCAAGGCGTGTGGTACATAGATCGACTTTAAAGGGGGAATGGTAAAGGGAAACAAAAATAAACGTACAAAATGAAGCAAAATCAGTTCAACATTGAAAACAGATGCACAGTAATAAAACAAAGCTGATTTTGAATGAAACATAAAATTGTGCAAATGCTGAACATGACCCAGACTGATAAAGCACAATGGAACTTCTGTCTGCAAAATCAAGTTTCTAGCACTTTCCTCAAGGCTGTTAGCTTTGGCAGCCTCTCTGAAGATACAGTCAGCTAGAAAATACCTTCTTCTAGAGGAATTATTTGGCTTTTATCTACCCACAGTTTTAATGTCCACTGATCAACTATGTGCACATACAAAATTTTGGCTTTGGATTTGGACTAATGGTTTATACTGGGGCATGTTTGGTCTGAACCAGCTCAGCAAACCATGTATTACTCTGTTACACAACTCTCCAGTTACAATCTCACTTAGAACCTCTTCCAGGAGTTGTGTTTGAATCAGAGTTTTAAATTCTCTCTTCATAGAAACAATCATTTGCATTTGGCTAACATCATTAATCATCCTCACTGCTTTGTGACAGGAGAAACACCAGATGGGCTCAGAGTGAGTTACATGCCCTACAGAAACTGAATCTCCCTGTCTAAAAAGAGAGCCTCTGGAGCTACACTTACGAGAAGGATGAGAAAAGGATGATAAATCAGTAGCTTCTCCATCCAAGGACATTCTACACCACCCTGTAATACCTTAAGTAAACTACTTAGCATTTACGAGAAAGGTAAACTTCCCTTGTATCATGAAGTACAGGGGACATTGTGCCATTCTGGGCAAACAGCCAGCATTTTGCATCTTTACATTCAATTAACTGAAACCACTGACAAATAAAAAGCCATAGAGCAACTTCAGCCTGTATGCAAACCTCAGAAAAAGCAAGCTACCTGCGGCAGTAAAACACATGCCTGGTCACAGTACCACAATTGTACAGGACCACCACCACACACACACACAATGACAAACACCTATAAACACAAGACCCACAGGGCATTTACATTAGGAATTCTTTACAAGATGCTTCTCTTGAAAGACACAACATTAAACAACACTGAATTAATTCACTGCTGATCACAAAGAGCAGGCTAAACAGAGCGCATTTTCTGGGAAGAAAGCTCACTACAGTTACCAAAAAAGCAACACAAGCAGAATTTCAGTTTAGAGAAGAAGGGGTTCACATAAAAGTTATGTGGCACACAGGAAGAAATTCTTATCCATATAAATAGCAGGCAGTTCATAATAGCCCAAATATAACCCTTGCATCCCATCAATACAAACCTGGTTTTGCCAGTCTCAGAGTTCAGTTACGTTTCTTTTGACAGCAAGGCATTCCAGTGTTTGCATGTATGCTTACATCCTTGGACAGGATGCAATAAAACGAGGTAAGTGAAGTTCTCAGATTTGTTTCCTCAAAATAAATCAACTCTTAAAAATATTCTTTAGAAAGTAGGCAGATGCTGAGCAAATAAATTGCTAACGGAACTTCAGCAACAGCAAATGGGAGAAAAAGAGACACCACCATACCCTTAACAGAGCTGGTGAGATACTTCAGGTATTAGGACCTGAGGCATCTACCACTTCTATCCTCTCCAATACAAAAGCCATTTTAAATCAAAGAAGCTCAGCACAGAAAAAAAGTGATTGTCAAGGTATCCTGAAGTCTGAAAACCAGCATGGACCACACTGAAGCCCTGCTGCTTCCTCCTGAAGGAGCTTATAAGGCAGAACATCAACTCTAACTTTTATCTGAACCCCCTGATCGTGTATCTGTCCTCTGGTAGCCACAGGTACCTCATTCTTCTGCATCTCTTGGAAAATGCAGAATTTCTCATGAAATGCCTTGAGTGCATGCAAGGAGGAATGGAAAGGGGAGAGAAGAAAGGGAGTAAAATAAAAACAAAATGATCTTCCTTTCAGAATAGGTCTAGATCAACTACAGAGAGAGATTAGAAGAGGTAAGTAAACACAGCAAATTTGTACTACTTCATTAACTCCTTCCACCACCTTAAGTTCATTAGTTATTCCAGCTCATTCCACTATATATACATAGAAGGAACTCCCTGTATCACTTATATTTGCAGTACTTCCATACCTTTGCCATCTGAGCCAAATATCAACTAGAACCTGCCATTTGAGACTGATTTGTGCACAACTGGTTGACAGGCTTGAGACAGGAGGCACAGATCACTGCACCTGTGACACTACCATCTCAGAGGTTCTCTTCTTCCAGAGTATTTTTTAACATGTGAAGCAGGCACCAGGAAAGGATGGGGGGAACGCATTTTTCATTCATCAGTACCAGAAGAGCCTTTGTGTTCTGTGGAGTCAACAGAATACCTACTTGTTCTTCCAAACCTTGCAAACACTGTCTAGGAGAGCTTAGAAGCTCTCAGGAATGAAAGAAGGGCTCTTCCCTGTTAATAATGACTGAGCAGTATGCCTTTCTTACTTTTGCACTAATACTGCCATCCTGGAATTGAAATGAATAGTTTAAAAGCAACTAACTTTGGCACTTTGGGAAAGTGATTTTCCTGTACTCGGCTCTCTTGAGTTTCACTTAGAGTGAAACTACTTTGGCTAGAAAGCCATTGATACGTCTTACGGTGTGACATTACAGCACTAGCTAGGAAGGTTGGTCGGAAACAATACCAGCTCTCAGAAGAAGCAGAGTTAATACCATACCACACTGGAATGAGAACACCAGGCCAAGATCAACTGTGTATTTCAGCTTAACAGTTGTTATCTACACACACAGACAAGTGGAAATAATCAGTAATGGACTCTATGATCTTAAAGGTCTTTTCCAATCTAAATGATCCCAAGTCCTCAAAGAAAGCAGGGTCAAAATGGAAGAAAGAGCTGATGGCTCATCTTTTCTCCAAAAAGAGAAGGTACCAATTGAGACGGTACACATTCTCTTCTCGCAGGAAAAATAAGAAAACCTGCATGAGCTGAAGAACTGCAGCCTATAGCTTACCTCTTAGCTGATGATCTGTCTTGATTATGCTCTTGATGTATGCAAAAAAACATTCCTATCTTTAGTTTGCTTGGAATTCTATCACTTCAAGCTCTCAAAGAGGCTGGTAAGCAACATCCTAAAATCAACCCTTACCAAAAGTGAGAACTGTCTCATAAATATCTTTTTGCCATAACACTAGAGCCAGTGAAATTCATTCCACTGACAATAAATGTGTGTTTTCTGCAGATCATGGGCATGCTTACAACAGGGACAAAATAAACTATTCTGATTGCAGTATTTGTTGTAAAATAATGTCACAGTGAGGCAACAGATCCTTCTTATAACAACAGCAGGGAGTAGCTTGCAATTGTGAAACCAAGTGAAACCAACTTATTGTAGGCAGAACAGTCAGCCAACTTAGAGAAAAGCCTGTTCCATGGAAAAAACAGTAAAACCAACAAAATTAATCATCCAAGTTTCTGATGTAGTTCTTTAAGCCTCTGATCTGCACAATGCCAGATCCATCTCAAATGTGTTTCCCATCTGCCTACCTCTCGTTTGGATTTCTGGGAGGAGCGTTCCAGAACATCGTCACTGGAGAGGTCGGAGTCCTCTGAGAAACTCAGGTGTTGACGGAGCTGCAAATCTGAGAAGCCAGGAATGAAAAAGGGAAGTTAGAGAACTGGTGACCATTCTTTCTGTAAACATTTCAGAACTCAGCTGCAAGTTGTCTGACTGAGCTTGAGAAATACTCAGTCCTTTTATGGCAGTCTCAGTTGCTCTGCCTGTGACTGCAGAGCTATCAGAGAAGCACTGATCCACAAAATGATCAATATTAGTGAGAAGCTTTAAGAAAACATCACTTTCTGCAAATGCTGTTAAAAATAATGGTCATGATTCTCTCTTTGTACTGTACCAGTGCTCTTACAATATACAGAGTACTTGGATGACAGCAGCTGGCACCATTTTGCCTATTTCTACAGGGCCACAGAAATGTAACATGCTCACTTTTGATCGCATTTATGGCTAACTTATTCACTGTATCACAAGTTGCCATTAAACATCTCCATCTGCACCTGAGAGATTTACACGAGGTCACAGAATCCCCACTTGAGAGATCAGCAGCCAGTTGCCAGATCACTGAGAACACAGCACTAACTGCATCTCTGCAGTCTTCAGCATCCATGGAGCCAGGTTGAAAGAAAGAACAGACCACCCAAAGAAAAGATGCTGAATAGATTTAAAATAGAGATGAAATGTCACAAACAACTGATTACAACAAACAGCGTTTACTTCTCAAACCAGTCTAAGGCAGAAAACAGATATGCCTTGTATATATCAAGAGTGAAGCTTTTATTTAAGGATCTATTTTTTTTCAGTAGCCTATCAACTACTTTTGTCAACAAGCAAACATGCAATTCTAGTCGCTAGCACTTTTCCTGATTTGCCCATTTGCCGCTGGGAAGCAATGTCATTCAGCACAGCAGCTTAACGACAAAGTAAGCCAAATGTACTGTCAAGCATACCTAGCTGTAGGAAAAGTACACAGTGTGGAGGCATAGATCTATTATACCTGCAGCTATAATCAGCGGAGAAGCTTTGTGCTTGCCAGAATCCACAGTGGCACTACTTGAGGGAGTACTTGGGCAGGATTTGTCATCAGTCTTTTTCTTCTTGTCTTTCTTATACCCAGAGAAAACAGACTTCCACAACGACCTAGGCTTTGCTGCTTCGTCTGTCCCACCGCTAGATTTGTCAGAAAGCCTGCTGTCATTTTTGGACTTCTTCTCCTTTTTGTTCTTACGAGGGGAGAAAAGAGAAGTTCTTTTTTTACTCTTCCCACTGGAGCCCTCTGAAGAGGTGACAGACCCTTCAGGTCCAGCCATATCAGCAGCAGGAGTGGAGAACTTCTCACTAGCACCATCATGCTTTCGTGTTGATCCCTCTGCTATTTTCAAAGCCAGATGCTTTGGAGAGTCATAAAACAACTCTTTGGTCTTCAAGGGCATAGAAGATGCCTTTCTTGCCCTTGTGGTCCCAGCAGCAGCAGCTGCAGCCATCTCCATATCTTTCATCTTACACAACTGTTTAGCCATGGCATCCCGCAGTGCTTGGCTCTTGACAGACTTCTCTCTGGCTCTCATTCTTTCTTCAGCAAGCTCCTTGGCCTCCACAGAAATCTCAGGCAACACTCGCTTCTTCTGGTTAACCCCTCCTTCCATTGAGGGTGGGCCACCATTTTCTTTGACCAAAGGCAAAAGGCGTGGTTTCTCTGGCCTTGGCCTACTGGTAGGAGGTGTAAAGAACTTCTCATGAAGGCTCGAGTCCTCCGTCCTGTCATCATAAGTGTCTTCTACATCATCAGCAAACGGAATCTCATCCACACTCTCTGCAAAAGACTTCCGCACATCCTCTTTTTTGGCCTGGATTGGCTCTTTGGCAGCAGAGGTCGGCTCATGGCGTGGGGGAACAGGAGGTGTTGATGCTGGTGTTGGAGGTGACCTGGCTTCAACCTCGTTCTGCCAGACTGCTTGATGCCTCTTTCTACGCAAAGTGGCTGGTTCTTCACCCTGAGGAGGCGGTGGTGGCGGACTTGATGGAGGAGTAAGCATAGTAGAGTCAGAAGTGTTGAAGCTCTGGCTAGCCATAGTTCTCATGTTAGATGAGCTCTCCTGAAGGCCAAGTCCAGAACTGCTGGATACATCTCTTACTTCACTGGAACTCCTTAGCTCTTTTTCTGATGGAGACTTTGGAGTCAGAAGAGAAATCTGCTCATTTTCTAACTTGGACAATCCCTGTCTTCTTGGGGCAGGCTGGGGTTTTACAAGATGGATCCTTTCATCCCCTGAAATCTTCTGGCTATTAAAAGTCTTCAGAGGAGTTGTCTCAAGGGCAGATACATTAAAGTTCGTCTCTGAGCGTTTGTTTCTGTCTACTGGGGTGAGCCCTAAGCTCCTCCGGATTTCAGCACTCTTCATCCAGAACTCTTCTACAAGGTTACTCCGTTTCAGGGCTTCTTCTGCAGTAGTAGGGCTCCCCAGTTTTTCCACCTCACTATCCTGGCCCCTGAAAACTAGTTTGGCTAAAGGAGTAGACGTTAAGGCTGGGACAGGTTGGAAGCATACTGGAGGCGCAACTGGGGATGGAATGGATGTTTCAGCAGAAGGCAAAGGCTGGGAACAGATAGGCATTTGAGCAGATGTTGCAGATGAAGCCAGTGTTGGTGATGCTGGCTGGGACTCTGCCATCGATGTAGATGCAATGGCTTCTGGTGATGCAACTGGCTGGGATAACACTGGTGACGGTGGTACCAGAGGGCTCCTAACTTTCCTGTCTTTGGGAATTTCATCCTTTGGTCCTTCAAGAAGGAAAGGCTCAGGAAAGAAGCGTGCCTCTGGAGATTTTATTGCATGGGACACTTCAGCCAGGGGATCTTTTACATCCTACAAAAAATGAAACCCAGAAATGTAGTCAGTGGGCACATCAGAATACTGGGTTTTCTTTTGTTTATTTGTTTTTGTTTTTTTTTTTTCTCTTCCCCTCTTTTAACAAAGTTAGCAATAGGTAAACCATCCAAGTATCAAAATATGAAACCCCCCACACATAGAATCTCATGTGCAGACCTGGAACATCACTTAGGATTTCTCATCAGGTATCATTCTTTTTGCTGCCCTGATGTATAAACTGTCCTCTGTAGATGTCAACAAGCGAAATTTAATTTTTAGATTACAAACAGTAACCTGAACTCCAGGATTCTGTTTCTGTCTTTTCCTGCTCTCTCTCTGAATCTCCAACTCTGTGTATTGTGGTAGTGCCTCAACTCAGACAGATATGATGCAAGTCTCTCTGGCTCTCATCAATATAGCACTTTCTGCTGGCTAGCATCTGCTGTAATGTTTTCTTAAAGCAGGGGGGTGCTTTCTCTGGTAAGAGTAAATTAAGATATAATTCCCTTGCCCCATAATGGTCTGATAAGTCTTGGTTTTCGTCTCCTATATCTAGATTACCATATTACTCAGTAGCACAATTCACTGACTCCTCTTACTGAGTTCTGATATTATTCTTTCCAATGGTATCATTTCTACCAGCTTGCTTTTGAGCGTAGACAGTTTGGTGTACGGGACACATGAGCACTAGAGCATAAACCTACCTATCTGTGTACTTATATGACGCATATTAAACACCCAGGTCTTGAGTACAGCATTTAGGCACTGTCCTGATATAAAAAATAACTATGTCTAATAGAATCATTAGATAGTGCTGAATAAAGAAAACAAAAAATCCAACCTCTTAATTTTAACAGAAAGTGAATGTTGTCAGTGATTGCTGTCAGTAAACCAGGTTTATCCCATAATGTGTCCATTGTAAAAGTAAACTGGTTTATGACAAAACTCTCTAGGATAAAGTCTAATCCTTCAGTAATTCCTTAAAAACAAACTCCTGGGAGGGAAAAAATTGAACATTTTAAGGGTCGTGTACTTCCTGATCTGAAACACCAGTAGCTGGAAACACATTTGCATGTGGACTCCAGGGCTGACAACATGACATGTCTCACATCCCTAAGCTGAACTATGTTGTTACTCTGGAAGAAATACGCATTGCTTTAACTACTACTAAGTAATACAAATATAATATTGAATTGCAACTATACAGAATCTGCTTTTAGTACAGAAAAGATAGCCAAACAAGGACAAACTGGAAACACCTTGCTTATGGCTGTCCTTGTTCATCTTACCTATCTCTTGTTAAGTGCACAATGAAATGAAAATATCCTGCAGAATTCTTTCTAGGGCTTTGTGATGGGAGCTTGCGTGACTGTGACAGAGCCTCTACACACTGAAGATAGTACATTATTATTTTTTTAAGTCTACATGAAGTCAGATTTCAAGTTGATCAACACAAATTACAGAGACAGGAAAGGAGGAAAGCACACTCCTGTTAGCCCTCATTAGTTTATCCAGCAAACGCTTCTACTGAACTACAGATGGTAAGCAGAAAACTCCACAGATTCTCTTTCTTACCTCTGCTTGTTTTGCTTTGGGACTTTCAACTGGAGACAGAGGAAGAACAGTGTCACTAGGTGACTGGATAGGGATGGATGGCTTGCATGGATCTAGGGAAAGCAAAAATGTTTCCAAACACACATGAGACCGCTAATATTATTTTCTTTTTTAGTGTTACACACAGCAAGCAGTGACAAATTTCTCAGCTCTTTATAAACTCTAGATTGGACATCTGGAACATAGACAAAAAAATTAAACATCAAAAATGGCACAAGCTTTTGAACGTGACTTCAATCAGGAAAAGCAATTGGATGCTTTCTCACACTTTAGGAAGCTGCAGTTAATGGATTCAGAACATTCTTCTCAAAATGTTAATGTAAGCACATGCCTTGCCGCTCAGAGTAGAAGATAGTGCAAATACAAGAGACTGTGTTCTCTTAAATCTAATAAATGTATAGACTACCTTAAATGCAACCAGAATCATTCAAACATTGATGGAAAAGCTATTACCTTCTGTCACACTGTAAGAAGCACCTTCTGCTTCTTCTTCATCTTCTTCATCTTCAGAGACTTTTAGTTCTGGCTCTTTCGTGCCACCTTGATGTAAGCGAAACTCTGCTTCTGCATCAGATGGGATGTCATCTGATCAGGGGTGGAAAAAGGGAGAAAAAACCCAAGAAATATTGGATACCAGTGCATCAGGACCTCTCTTTATTATCCGAAAGTCTTTCATAATCCTTTCCTCCTGTTCACATGTTGCTAATCACTTTCAGAACCTGAAACATTTCAATCCTTTTTTTGTGTGCTAATTAGAGTCATTTAAGCAGTAAATGATGGATTATTAGTATAAATAACTAAATTAGTAATTGAAGTCATACATTAATGGCTTTCTGGCAAATTTTCCATGTTTCCTGGCATAAGCAGATCATTTTACGCTAGCAAGGGAAGACTTTCTGCATAACATTGTGGGCTTTTCACAAATTTACTTCTGTTTCTGTTATTCAGCAGGATTAGTACTGAATATGGATACTAAGCAAGCCTTCTAGTTAGCAGATGGTGAGAGGACACGAGAAATTTGTTCTAAAACACACAGCATTGAGGTTCTTCTGTTTCTTTTTGTCCTTCACTCCTGGCTCCCTCTTGACTATTTGAAACAACACCCCTACATCACTGAAAATAAGATCAGGTTTAACAAAAGATCATACAAAGTATGATCACAAATACCCTCATACAAAGTATTTTCTGCCAATAAAATTCTGTTCACACAACAGGTTTAAATAATGCACACTGGCACCCTACCGTCATCCAGCTCTGCACCCGTGTCTCCCTCTTCACCTGCCTGCCCTTCTGTGTCCGCAGGCTCTGTGCCCAGCTCATCCTCCACATCCTCCTCACATGGAGCTAGAATGCATTCAAATATTGAGGAAAAAAGGAGAAAAAAAGACACTATACAGTGAAAGGCTCTACATTGAACTGCACCAACACTTTATAGTGGAGATATTCATTAACTGCTGCCAAAACAAGAAATCCTGAAATGTGTCACCTTGAAAGACATCTACGGTGAAATGATACTTCCAGACTCCAACAAATCAAGGAATGCCCTACCCTGGGGAGCCTCCAAGGCATTTGCACTTAAAGCAGCCAGGGCTTTTCTGAGCAACAAGCCTTGTGCAAAATCAAACAAGAAGGAGACTGGGAGGACATCAAACCAAAATGAAGCTTACTGTTCTTCCAGGAAGATTATTATTTTCTTTACCACAGCAGAACAGTTGCCATCACTTTATAGCATACGTGTATTGGGTGAAAACTGGAATCTCACAATGTACCACAACTGTTCATCTTAAAATTGAAACAGGCTTTTGAGGGTGTAAGTCAGAGATAGAGTCTACCTCTGTGACAGATCATTATTACATTTGGAAACGTTTAACTCTGTGCAGGGCCCGAGACACTTGTTATGCTGTACAAGTAACTAGGATGTAAGTTCAGACATTTAAAGTGAATAAAAAGATATATTCAAAACTTCCAGTTACAGATCAGAATTTGATTTGCTGGGTCAAAATAAAGAAAAGATTCTTGAGCTTATAACTCTGAAAAGGGCATCTGACATTACTACTTGTGACAGGATTCAATCACAAGAGGAGAGAGAAGACTGTGGGGGCTGAATTTCATTATTAAATAATACTTTTTAAAAAACATTAACCTTATGACACCTTGTCCCATCTCATGCTATGCATGATTTTGCTTAACTTTCGTTTGTTAAGCAGTTTCATAAAACAATTTAAACAAACAAAAAACTGAGCACTTCCAGGGGTTGGTAATTTTTGCATAGCAGAGTCAGTCAACTACATTTTTAGATTGTGCAGTGAGTTAGCATCAATTTGTGTTCAACAACATGCAGACATTTAACTCTGCTGTATATCCTATTGCAAATGCATACACAGTCAGCGTGTATTATTAGGCACGACGTTTGCTAACTATGCACATAGGATATGGTCCTGTAACGATGATAACAGACAGATTTATAACCTTCTTTGTTGCACCTATATGAGTAAACCAAGCAGTGCAAATCTCTAGACCTGAATGCATACAGTGTCATGCTATCATCTTTAGGAGGACTCCTGGCATGGCTCCCAGCAGTTGGCTCCCGTGGTAGGGTGAGAGGCTGTTTCCAACAGGCAGTCCAGATGCAGCCTCCTGATTCTGTAGCCATATGGGAGTGATTTGTCCTGCACCAGCTTTCTCCTGCATCAGGAAATAGGCCCTGATCCTTTTTGTTTACTAGTGACAGTGTGAAATGGTTGGAGCCATTTATATGCTTAGCATTGCTAATTAGGAGAATCTTGAAAACAAACCAACCCTCCCTAAAACTGAGGTCTTCCAGCCTCTCCTCTAATACAGGTTTCTGTTTATTTCAAAACACAGCCTTCAGTGGCTGGTTTGTCGTCTTCCTTCAACCACATAATTTATCTTTTCCATCCTTTTCCCCTCGTACTACTAAAACAGATAAACATATGGGCTACTTTATTTTGTCAACTACTGTGAAAAGGCAGTTACTCTTACATTTGATAAAGCACTGGCCTACTCCCTTTCATCAGAGGCTTATAAAACCCAGAATGTTGTGGATGTGGAGCATAGGAGACCGAATCATATGGCAAAGGCTGGACTGCCCAGAAGGGCATTTACAAATCTTCTGAACAAAACCAGTGCCCCAGTCTGATTGTTGCTTAGGTATAGAGTATCTTATGTTATTTTGGAAAGAATAATGTCATGGGATGGTTTTATGGTAGCAGCAAATGTGAGTACTTGCAAAAATATAACTCTGATGTTAGAATATCTGATACCACTATGTATATGTGTGTCTTCAGATCCAGAAACCATGAACTGACATGAGACATACAAGGAATGTTGGAGAGAGGGGAGAAAGTTCTTGAATAGGTTGGTACACAAAACTTCGCAGATGATTACAGAGGCAAAGATAAATAACAACTTGGTGCAAGGGTGGATCCCATTGAGGGACATGGAGAGTTTGCAGGTGGCTCGTTATACTATACATATACTGCGCATATACGTATATGCAGTGAGGAAAAGGAGCAAGAGGCCAAAAGCTGTCACACCATAACTCAGAAGCTATACACTATGGCAGCCAGAAACTTGGATCAGCACTTGGTTCATATCAGCTAGCAGCTGTGAGCAGACTGCATCATGTGCAGACATCTTGTAAACACTGCTGCCTTTGCAAAGCAGCAGCAGAAGCAAAGGTCTATAGGCAAGCTAGCTATTCTGATGTACCAAAGCAACTCAGCTGCAGAACAACTACCCAGCCACAACCTGCTGCTATTCCACTGGGTTTAACACCTTCTCCGCTTTACACAAATTTACACCTTTACTGTAATCCCAGAATCTTCATGCTCATTGGTTTTGTAATAGAGCTTAGAGGACCACATAAAAAAGGCAGCTGAGCTCTACCATCCTGCAGCTTTCCTGAGGCTTTCCTAAATAATGTGAACCCCAAGTCAAAGGAGACACAACAGCCATCACTATTCCCAAAGATCCCAGCTTCAACCTTATTCTTCTTTCTGTTTGCTTCACCAGGTAACTACAATTTGCAGTTGCTAGAGAACTGCAATTGCTTTAAGTGCTCTCTGTGAATCATTCAGCTGCAAGAAAGCCCCATGTTCTTTTAGTCAAGGAGCTAGGGAAAGAATAAGAAGTCCAGTCTCCAGTTTACGAAGGAAATCGAAGCACTCAACTAGATTCTTCCTTCTACATTATTACTCCCAAGATAACCTCTCTGTGTGGCCTGCCTTCAGGAGGGTTACATGGTTGAGTTCATGCAGGAATGGACTCTCTGAGCAAGGCGTGCATGCACACTCCCCCTTCCTCCCTCCCTCCACGTCCAGTCATGCAGTAGCGACAGGGCTGTAAGTTCCAGGGTTAAAGTACCAGCTCAGCTGCTGAAGGCATGGAGAAGAGACGGGCAGGGTTATTGTGCATTGGAATACATAGAACATCACCAAACTACCTCCAGGGACCGTCTCCAGCCACGCCTGTACCGCCTCATGGCGTACGGAGGGAAGGTCGGATGCTGAATTTAAAAAACAATAAATTGTAAGAAATCAAAATTAGACCATCAGTAAGTGTCTAAAACAGAAGAGTGACAGAGGGAAACTTCAGTAGCAAACACAGGAATAAAACCTATGAGATGTTAAAACAACAGATTCCAGGCTTGGGATTTAAATGGAGAGAACACACTCAGAGACCTACTCTTTCTCTAGGAGCTGTAATGTTAGAGGAAATAGAGATGGCAAAGTGAGATGGGTTGCTGCACTGCTGTACTCCACTTGAAACTCTGCAGAGGAGGGAAACTAAGAGATGAAAGAGCTGAGCAACAAGAGAGGGGCAGTCCTAACAGTCCCAGAACCTCTGCTCCCAGGTGCGAATGCCAGCAGACAAAGAAGAGCACCCAAAGCAGAATGAGAGTATTGTCACGCTATCCCAGGCTTTCCCAACAAACCTCATCGCCACTGCTGCAGAAGGTCTCTCCAAACATCTTGTATCACAAAATACAGCTCACCCAGGAACAAATTTGTCTATTAAATTCAGGCTGAAAACTTACAGCATATCCACAAGTACATGGATACGGGGTGACAGCACTTTGAAAAACCGAACTGCTGCTACACCTGCATACACCTGTACTGTTATATGACAAAGTAACTGAAGCAGCTAATTGATCAATCAGGACTGTCCCAGTTTGCCCCAGTTTTAGGGGAAGGCAAGGAAACACTGCCTTCCCTCCCAAAAGAAGTTGGAAAGACCACAAAATCTATTTTGGAAGGATCATATTTTTCTGGCTGCTGCACCAGCACACTATGGAAAAGTAGTAATTAGAAAATACAAATGGAAAGAAAAAATTAGACACTAGTGATACAGATCCTCAAGCAGAAGCTAAAGTAACCTTAATTGTAGCAAGCTTAAGAAACATTAAGCAACTACTCTAGAATACTGAATGTCACAGACAGTTGAACTTGTTTTGTGGTTGTAGTGGGAAGGAAACATCCATCTCTTATTTGTATGGAGCAGATTTCACACTGGAAAAATCACAGTGCATTCTACAAACTGCAATTATAAGCATAGACAAGCATAGACAAACTGATCTGTAACAAACTGGATCAGGGTTAAAAGACCAAGCCAAACGTCTAGAACTACGAGGAAAAGATAACTATCTGGGACAGAATATGACCAGGCAACATGAGGTAAAGCCCTAGGCTTTTTTAAATAGAGATCAGTCATTTAACGTAATTTCACGTCTGCTGTAAAAGTATGCTTCCCACAGCATAGTTACTGCCTCTGCAATTCTGGCACAGTGGTCACAGACTGAGAGAACAGCACTGTTCACCAACTGCATGGTTAAGTCTAGGCTTCTGCACAGGCAAAGCACCTACGACAATGTTGTGGTTTAACCCCAGAAAGCAACTAAGGACACATACTTACCTTAAGACATACTGTAATACAGTCTAGAATAAGTTCAGCAGGGACTGCTGGAAGGTGCTTACAAGAGAACTAGACTACTGGCATTTTCCCCTTCCAAAGTTTTCCTTCAAGTAACTAGCAACTCAAAAAGGTCACACCTCACTTCAGAAAACAGATATACTGTCATATCTTAAACATAGGGCATCAAAACCACCACTGATCACATTTGCAAGCTCTTTGAATCCCATCATTCCTTCTTAATAACAGACACAGTTACACTTTGAAAAGCAGCAGCAGAGAATTATGCTCAGTAGAGAACCTGACCCTGTTCAGTCTTTGCTGTAGTAGCCACACAACATAGTCCTTCAGCTTTCCCTAAGGAAGCACAGAGCCCTCACTGCCACAAAACCCACAGCTATCCCTAAATCCAGTAACTGAGTGCTAATTGCCAGCACTATCAAATCATGTGTGCAGTGACAAAAAATGCTATGGAGTCAAAACAGGCAGACAATGGGTCAGAAGAAGTCACACCACCAAGGAGCTGAGAAAGCAGTCATTTTAAGCAGACACAGACCTGAAAAGCAAAATGTTTAACCAAGTGTAATTTCAGTGTAATTTGGAAGTAGTTCCTTTCAACCACTGCTGCCCCTGCTGAAGTACACTGCTCTTGAAGGGCGCAGAAGCAACAGAGTTAAACAGCTGCAACTGTGATCCAGGAACCGGTGGTGTGGGGCTCGGGAGAGATTACCTCTGGAGGTGGAGGACTTTGAGGTTGGGACCATTTTTTCCTCCTCCTCTTTTTCACGGATGTGTGTCCAGTGCACATCTGCCAGGATCTCCAGAGGATCAACCGGATTTACAATCTGCTCCAGTCTAAGGTTTCCAGCTAGCGTGAGGAGGGCATGGCATACCAGGTTGTAGGCAGGGTGTGTGAAGGACAGGGAGGAAAAGGTGGGAGAACAGTGGAAAGGAAAGGTAACACATCAGAGGAAAGGAAATAAGAAAAGAAGAGAAAATATTACTGGCTAAGCTCAGTTTGCAAGACAGACAGAAAAAAAGGCTCAGCATCGTGTGTGCACGCATACACCAATACAGCACTCCTCATACTTCCCATCAAAGCTGAATAATGCCATTCCAAAGGCAGAGAGATACTATTAAAAACATCATTGTAGATCCTCCCTATTGCAAGCAGCTTTGCTGAAATGAAAGACATTCTCTGGGTGTCCAACAGTATGTGGTATGTAAATACCAATTTATGAAATTTCTAGCTCCTTCAGCCTGTTCATTATGATTATCGCCAAAACCATCTTGGTTCCTGTTAAAGGAAAGGGACAACCTGCATTGTAGTTTGATGCACCAAAAGGAAAGGTCTCTCATCCCCTACTATAAAGTTAAGTACTCCTTTGTATCCTGGGTATGTATTCCTTTGTGAATTCAATTACATGATGGATATGAGTTTGACTTCTGTGTGTATATGCGTATACAGACAAGGGCATACACTTACTTTAGCAATTCAAACACTTTGTTTACTCCTGTTTTGTAATGACTTGCTCAGGGGTAAATTTCTTTTCTGAAGAGTAACAGCATTTTAATTAGGACTGAGCAGTGCCCCCACTTCCCCAGAAGAGAATTCCTGTTACACAGATTAATTTGTTTAAAAGAAATTGCATTACTCCTCAACTATGTGCATACCCAAAGCCCAGCTACTTATGGTGTGTCAAAAGGAATAATGGGCACCTAAAACAACTGATAAGCAGCTTGTTCAGCTGCTCAGCATGCCCTCATTCTACAGGGAACAGGTGTTCAACATCTGTAGGAGCGGCCTTCAAAAGCAAATGACTTATCCTGAAAGGAAAATGCCCACTTACTTTATAAAGGAGGAAGTCAATTTTCACAACAGCTGGATTACCACTGAGTAGGGCAAAACCCTGTTTCAGCAGTTAAAAACCTCAAAAGCAGTTAGATTTTCAGATGGTGCACTAGTTTTGAAGGAAACAAGAACCATTAGCAGCATTTACAGGTCACACTCATTTCCTGCTGTCTCATTTTAACGAAGTTTCTCTCTCCCAGCCATGTTTTCCCCACATATGACACAGTGTTTGGGACTTCCATGTCAGGAATAACTATGTGTGAGATTTGGCATTAAAACTGCAGAAGAAACAGGCAGAAGGAACTGCAGGAAGGACAGAATTACCAGCCGGTTAATCAAGGGAAAAAGGGTCCAGGCGCACAAACTCAAATGCAGAGCGGGATTCTCAATTTAGGCAAGTATTTAGCAATTTTGTGTCTCTCTTGCCTCATCAGAGAGTTCTCTTATCAATCAGCACAACCACATGGTCTACCAGAGCTACTGGACATCCTGTAGGAACAGGAACCTGGGCTTTTCTCACTCTGTACCAAAGCACTCGCATGCAGGCCCCAAGATGAGTAGAGTTAGCATTTGCATCGCCACACAAAAGTTTCTGTTAAAGGGTTTAGATTTGCCAGCAACGGCTGAGAAGTATATATTCCTCAGCAAGGCTTGGAAAGAGCAGGTCCCACATGATCTGCATGTTTTAAAATGGATTTCTCTGGGATTTAGACCAGCGTAATGTACACACCTTCAGTTACTCCACAAGTCTCTGGACAGAGGCCTGAGGCTGTCCTGATTAGGATATGGGTCCTTCTCACCTTTTCCAGTAAATAAATAGCAGCACAGGCAGCCAGGAAGGACTGCTGCTTGGCTGACAGACAAATCTGTTTCCTTGAGGTCTAAATGCTTGAGAATTTCAAATGACACCTGACATGGCCTTCCCTTTCAAGGATTCTGGCTAAGCTCTGCAGGAAGCTGGACGTTAACTGCACTCATATTGAAAGGTAGCTTTCCCCTAAGGGGAACTTCAGTTACGCTCTTTACCCATCTTACTGATACTTCTCATTCTTACCATCAGAAAAGTTAAACAGGTAAAAATTGTAAAACCTCTTCCTTTTTTTTTTTATTTAAAAGAAAAAGGTCATAAGCTAAGCCATAGTTGTTACAACCACAAGCTGCAAAATATGCATATTTTGAGAACTGCATATGCCCTCTTACCTTCAGGAAGACACTTGGGTTTTCCGCTCATGCATTCTGGTTCTAATGAAACCCATTGAAGGAATAAGGGATTAATAAACTATTAGGACCAAGTGCTTCAAAATAAACAACCATGAAAAATGAAGTGCAAGAGCATCGTGGAAACTAACACAACCAATCAGACTGGAATGTCAGGTTCATTTTGTGCCCATTATACGACTGCTTGAAAAATCTTGAGGGATCACCACAGCTTGATCAGCTTCCCCACCAGACTCTCCCCACAGACACACATTCAACAAAGGACAACAACAAAAAAGCAAGTTTGCTGACACAAGCAATACAAAGGCAGCGCTTCTGATGTGTCCATGTGTCTGACTTATCGCATGGGTGCAATTAGCCTGCATGTATGGAACAAATCTGAAACTCCCAAAGATGTGGGGGTCACTGTTCATGCATATTACAGCAGCAGAACATCCAGGCTTTCTAGATATCCTGAGGTACCTGGCAGCTTTACCTTTTTCCTAAAACCAATGGCAGTGTCAGACCTGATATATGGCACTTTGTCCAGGAGATTAAGATGACAACAGCTACAGAACCAGTTTCTAAGGAGCTGGTACAGCAATTAAATAAACCACAAAGAAAACAGCTACAGAACCAGTTTTTAGTGAGCTGGTAAAGCAATTAAATAAACCACAAACTCCTCATGTGGGACCTGCTCTTTAAAACATTTCCCCCTCCTCTGGGGAAATGGAAGTGGAGATGGTATACGGGTACCTTTAAATGTACCCGTGTCCTCTTCATTTGAAAGACGTTGAAGCCAGAGGCCTTGCTGCAGCTCGCTCTCCCAAGGGCAATACTCCCCCTCTACAGCAGAGGGAACCACACATCCATATATAACACCAGACACGCATGTACACACACAAGCGATGGAGAGAAAGAGAGAAAGGACAGAATCAGACAGAGACACAGTCTGGAAACCCTTCAGCTTCCCATACTCCCACTGTATTCAATGTGTCTGACAGGAAAACTGCTTGAATGAAACAATGTCCAAGTACACCATGGTTTTAGCAGACTAAACACACAACATGCACGTTACCATACTTAAAAAGCAGTCTTCACTTCCACAGACTTCAGTTACGGAGATACAGATCCTGTGTTGAAAAAGTAGCCAAGCAGCCTGCTGAGCTCATCAGTAAAACTGCTGCTAAGACAGAAAAACTGGACCTCTGCTTGCATTAGGCAGCCAAAGACCTTTACAAAGAAGCTCTTTGGAGTCTACCAGTCTTGACAAAAAGGAAACGTGAGTACAAAGACAAGATCAGCGAGAAATTTGGCATGGTGGTGAAACACTGGAAACGTCTATTCTTAGCACAAACTTTGCATTTTGATGACTGAGACAAACACAGGGGAAGGAGTCTTTCCCTAAGATTTTTCCACAGAAATCCCTCTGAGCTGAATAGGAACCGCCTGAATTCCCTGATTTTCAAGACAGTCTTGGTAACTAAGGAGAGCTACAAGCAGCTTCTTCTGGGATGCCCTGATGACAGTTACAGTGGCACTACCCCTTAGTGAGGCACTCTGCAAGACTGAAAACACTGCTTCCACAATGCTTCCAGCTCCTGCTGCCAAAGAACAAAGGGCACATTCAAAACAAATTCCCAATAATAATAAAAAAAAAAACAGTAAAACAATAGTGTCACAAAGCTGTGAATTGCACATGTTGGCATGGTGTGTGGGAAGCATATTGTGATGGTACTAGTGCTGTAACTGCCCTGTGGGCAAAGATCTGGTTTCAGAATGATCCACCTAAAGTTTTCATTGACAGTAACTCCCTCAGAAATCAAAGCAATAAAGAAGTGAAAGAGGAAGAAAAGTTTTACAAGGCAAAATCTCTCTCATTCTGCATGGCAAATACTCAACTCAGTTTTCCCTGCCATCTAGCAAAAAAGAGGGAAGGACAAATCAATGAGTCTAACCTTCGCTTGACTCCTCATCTTCCTCCTCTTCATCTTCCTCCCCCTCCTCATCTTCTTTGTCCTCAATCTCATGATTTTCCTCAGCCTCGATCTCTTCTTCACTCTTTCCCTTCAGGAGGGCGTGGATACGCACAGCCTCTTTCCATGGCACACCACCCAAGTCTGAAGGGGGTTGCTGAGGCAGCAGCAGTTCATCATCTTCCTCCTCATCTTCCTCTTCCATCTCAGACTCTGAACTACTACAAGGGTTTAGAAAGGAAAAGAAACGATTACTTTATGTTTCTTAGATCAGTCTTAGATCACTGACAAGTTGTTTCAAAATACATACAAGCCCAAAACGTATGATGGAAACCATAACATTAATCTTCTGCTTTCAGTATTTCACAGGCAATTTATCGACAGCATCACATGTGAGCTGCAGTATGCCTTGCCCGGCTTCTTTTAAAGAAGATGAAGCAGCAGCAAAGTGCCTGCAAAGCCAAGTTCAAATATCTGTGCAGCATTAATTGTTACAGCTCATGACAGTTGAATACAGCAGAAACTATTTTTTCCATAACACATTGCTTTGGATAAAACAGAGCAAGAGGTTTTAGCAGTGTTAAAATGTAGAAGGTCACGTCGTTTGATAATGGCAGCTACTGCTAGCATTTTGGATAGCTAAATGTTTTTGGCACTTGCTGGGTTGATCCACAGAAAGCTTTGGGAGTAGAAAGAACACACAACATGACTATCAGGCATGTGGGCTAAGGAGAGTTGGAGGGGAAAAAAAAATGTACAGAATTCCTCACTTTTCAACATCACAGACAGAACTATAATATGTATCCAATTAAGTACACAGTGCACATAGTGGCAAGAAACTGTAGGGTGCAGTGCAAGGACAATTACAATAATGAGCTGCTTATTCTCACAGTGAAGTCTAAAACATGCAAAACAGTAAATCATTAGTGCTTTTTAGCAGACATCTCTATAGCTCCTCAGTATAAGCAGCAGGGGCAAGAAATGGAACCACCTATACAATGAAATTTAATCTAGCTCAGTCTTACATGCTGGACAACCTAGAGTTAACTGAGGAGAAAGACGGTTGCATTTGTCACTGGAAAATTAATGTGAACTACATCTCATTCAGAGAACAAATCTGCAGGGTCAAAAGGTCCTCTTCCTTTGCTTTTCCTTACTAGATCATGGTCATAAAAGAACTGCGTTTATTAGAGCTACAGTTAGATGCTTCCAATATAAAACTTCAAAGGCTGAAATTCATCTGGATTGAAGGACTGAAACTGTCTGTGAATGGTTAAAGTTTGGATGAGAAATCAGAGAACAGTATTCTACTTCTGCTTCCTTATGAAGCATTCTACTATTCCTTAGTAGAATACAGTTAGCTATCACTGTAGCTAACAGCCTTTGGGAGAACCCATTCCACAGAGAAGAGAAAGTGGAACGACAAGTAGAAAATAATGAAGTGTACATTTCATGTATGTTTATAAAATATAACTTGTACAGTTCTTGTAATGTAATTACAGCATGTGAAAAACTGATAGCCTCAAAAAAAAAAGGGCAGCACTCGTTGCAGATACACATATTCAGGTGAAGAACTTCAAATCAGTCTAACACTACATGATCATATATTTACATAATACTATTCATATACTTGTCTGAGAGATTATTTTTGATAGCAAAGCCAATCAGGAAAATGCCACTTTCTTCACGCTCTGATTGTCACATACTTCTGTCCATAGGCTCTTAAATTCTCCTCGCTGTTCTGCACTTATATAACTATTTTCCTCAAATTACAACCCACTTTTTCACAGCATAAACCGAATATTTATTTTGAACAGGTTGCCTGGTTTTCACATGCTGAATACTGAATACAAACACTGTTGCGTGCCGTGGACTTGGTGCGTATTCCAGAAGACCAGAGCATGTTCCAAAGGCTTTAGGCAGATACCGTCACAGAGATTAAAAAGCAATGTTCCCCTCCTCCCTGATTAACTTTCCTACCCTTTGGCATGGAAATAAACCTGACAGGTGTTGCATGCTGAGGTTTTTGTGTGCTGTCAATGAGGTTTACTGCTGCTCAAACTGTTGCCATGCCTGCTGAGTGGGACATCTCCTGCTCTTCAACCAGCTGGCTTATCTCATGTAGTATTGACGACATACATTCTTTACCACATAGCTCACTTTACCTTCTTCAGCTTTTATTTATGACTTGGTTTTTGTTTGACCTTTGAATACTGAGAAATGAGAAGCTGAAAGAAGGCAGTGAGATGGGCTGGTATAGTGGGCATTCCTTTCAGCACGGCAACCCCTTGCCACAGAATTAATTCAACAGCTGAAACTACTTTTTTCTCCTATAAAGCAGAGACCAACTGCTTTATAGAAGCACAGGAAGTCAGCATCTCATTAAAAAGGTGCACCTACAGGAACTGAGGTATAGGAATGGAACTGAAACCTAAACTGTGGAAATGACCCTCTTCCCTTGCCACACAGCTCCACATGACACTGCTTCCAAAGGCCACAGGGTATTATATCAAAAGTGCAGATGACATACTGGGCGTTACTGCAAGTTAAAGGCCATGAATAACGCACCTAAGGGGCTCTCCACCTTTCAAAACTGTGTAGGCAGGGTTGGGTTGCTGACACAATCCTTCTTGTTGAAGCTTAAACAAGAGCAACTCTCTCTTGAAAAAATATACTTTGAATATTGTTTTCTGCAGACTTTCTCTGCAGTGTGCATGCTCCTAAGTGCACGCGTGATGGAATGCTGTGCACCAAAATGTGTGGTCTCTACCTGATTTAGAGCTAACATCTCAGTGAACCCTGAAGCCAAATCCATCGCTCTATAAGACACAGAAGGAACAAAGAGTTCCCCATCCTCTCTGCCTGCTCCTAACCCTGCGGGGCTGCACCAAGACAGTGAACATGATCAAATTAGGGCTTTGGTTGGCTTGTTACAGTAGTTCTTTTGCTGCTGAAGAAGTTGTCAGACTTTTCCTTGTTTTTTGTTTTTGGTCTTTCTGTGACATACCATGGCGCGGGTAAAGCTGAACAGAGGATAGCAGGTGATCAGAAAATCACCTGATACTGTCTGTCAGATATCATCTAGAAAGTCTCTCTGATGTTTGGCCCACCCACCCATATCAGTCCTCTGAGTAAATTGCTTGCCATGTTTGGATTTGGGACAAAATACTTTCCAGTTCAAACTGACAGGGAATTTGATGTATTTTCTTCCTCTCTGCCACCACAGAATGTGAGCTGCCCCCTAAACACTGCTTTCCATATGCTAAATTACACAATTTGGTCTATTACAGACTGAAATATTCAGTTTAATACAGGTTATGGGGATATATGTAGAACAAAGGGAGCTAAATACAACACCCTACGAGAGGAAATCCAACTCATTAATGTAATAGTGTATTGCTGTCAGTCCCCGCAGTCTCACAGAACACTTTTTGGTGATGATCAACAGCTTCATGCCAAAACTCCACTTTTTTTTAATTAACTCCTCCTCTTTGGAATTCTTCTGCCATTTACTGATGGAATTACTGTGTCCTGATTTATTGAAATCAAGATCAATAATAACAATACTCCATACTAGTAAATTTTGGTTTAGAGCTACAAACATAAAGGACTAAAACCCCCTCAATATCATTAATGTCTATACTGTCACAGTTGACGTAATTCCTAGGCCTGAGCAGGGAGCTAAAGGAAGGCTGAGTGAAGCAAGCAGAATTTATCTCCTATAAACAGTCCCAAGGTTATACAATCAGAGCACTGGAGAAGACCTCAATTATGTAAAATACCAGAACAGTATCCTCTAAAGAAGTTAAGAAATTCATCAAAAAGTATTATTTAGGTTTCAGACATAACAGCTGTACAAGACATTAGTAACTGCCAGGCACTTAAATGAAAATCACACCTTCATGAGTCCACGTGTACACACTCTCTGTCAAGGCTGAGTTCAGGCTACTAAAAGTTACTCCTTTCCAGATGCTGCACCTTCAATGTGATGCACTTATACACCGTTTTGCAGATAAAGAGAAGTTTGTGAGGGTACAACATGTTTTTCAACAGCCGTAGCTATTGCTTCAAATCAATGCCTCTCAGGCACTGCATAAGCATTCAGTCAGGATTACATGTATGTCAAGCTTAAATCTTTAAACCAAAAGTGGTTTTGCATTGTAATGCAAAACATACAGAAAAAAAGTTAATTTTGGAGTCTCCTCCCATCTGAATCTATGCTCTGTTTGCTCAAAACTCATTTGTCTTTCATACAATTAAAAAAAAAATGAAAAAGAAAAAAATCTCGATTTAAGACTGAGTTTCATGGTATTACGGTATTGTAGGTTTCCTCCAAGGATGGTAGTAAGCTATCTACCATCTAAGTTAGTTGTAAGCTATAAGTAGCAAGGTAAGGTAGTAAGAACAGAAACTAGAAAATAAAAAACTTGTGTGCACATGCAGAACATTTTGATCAACTTTAGAAAGGGCATCCTGGTAAACAATACGTTACTAAAAGCTGAAGGAAATGCAGGCAAAAGTCTGTTGGGATGGGTACAGAAAAGCTTACTGACAGTGCGTGCTAACCTGCTGGGAACATCCTCTTCTGCCCCTTTGTCCAACACACTACTGAGGTTATGCTCTGCTAGTGTCTCTTCAGGAACCTCTTCCAGTTCTTCTTCCCTCTGCAGTGACAGTCGGTAGTTCTCCAGTTCAATCCGCTCAGGTGTGCCACGCAGCCGCTTAGCTAGGCTGGGCTCTTCCAGCCCATTTACATTAGAACCTAAAGAATAAGCCAGTGAATAAACAATAAATGCAACAGTCAGAGCTGTCATTTTTTTAAGAAAACTGAGCAATTGGGAGAGAAAGGGCATGAGGCAGAGGGAGGTAAATAAAACAAGAGAATACCTTACTTATGTCATTATCCTGTTCACCACAACTGGCAGAACCTGCTGGGGAGCCAGACTGCAAAAGGGAATCTTAGTGGTTTTGGCTAATAGGTGCTAAAAAGAATGTTAAATGTCCTACCTGAGAGAGGAAATAAGGACATTTTAGCTGCAAAAACTAGAGCTGCAGTTAAATATATGTAGGAACTACTGGGGAAGGCCTGGCCACAGTCTGGATATATTTGATGAGACATAGTAGGAATGCTAGGAGACAATCCTGGTACATGTTAAAACTGTTACCAGGCAAGGTAAGGCTACAGAATTAGGAAGCAAGAAAATATTATTACTACTTAAAGATAAGGGAGGGAGGAAAGCAATGAAAAAGACGCACTTGGAACAGGTTTTAAAACTTTCTATAGACTTTAATTAATTTGCTTTTTGATCAGAGTTTTCAATGAAACTTTCTCTTCATTAGGGACTGCAGTGATAGGAAAAGGGCTAATGGGTTCAAACTTAAACAGGGAAGATTTAGGTTAGATATAAGGAAGAAGTTCTTTACTGTGAGGGTGGTCAGACGCTGGAACAGGTTGCCCAGAGAAGCTGTAGATGCTCCGTCCCTAGTAGTGTTCAAGGTCAGGTTGGACGGGGCTTTGAGCAACCTGGTCTAGAGGAAGGTGTCCCTGGCCATGGCAGGGGGGTTGGAATTGAATGAGTTTTAAGGTCCCTTCCAACCCAAACCCTTCTTTGATTCTATGAAATGAACCACAAGGAAGGATCTAGGTGAGGTATTTGCAAGCACAAGTCTCATGAATCCCAGAAAACTGCAAAGACATGTGAACCAGGCAGTTGAAGAGAAGTATACAGGAGCTTCATTTGCTGTGGCACTCAATGAATTGAACTCTAACACATATTCATTGTTTTTAAAATTCCAGTATTTTAGCTTTATTATCATGCCTCTGTTTACCCTTACCCAGCTTACTATTTACAGAGCCCAATCTTTCCTAGCTTGTTTTGTTTTGTTAAACAAGCCAAGCCATCCTCTCATGAGATAAGCTTTTCAGTGCCTGATGATTCCCCACATCTCTGCACCTGTCCCAGTTTGGATTAATCTTTCCAGAACCTACGTGAGTAGAATTGAACACAGCTTTCCAGATGAGGCCTTAACAGCGTAACATACAACCCTGCCAGAAATCCCTTATCTGATGCACGTTGAGAACACATTTGTCTTATTTATACACCACAATAACACCGGTAGCTTTTATTTACTAACTGATACTCAGATCTTTCTCCTTCTTTGCTTTCAACTGACAAGCACCTCACTGGTAGCCAAAACACTCAACACTTTCCTAGTGCATGGCCTGGTACTTTCTACTACTACATTTCTATTTTTACTATTATTCTGCAATATTTTGCAGTTCTTACTGTATGACGTGCCTATCCTCTTCTGCATTGAGGAGGGTTTGAAATGCTGCCTCAGCAAGGAATTTCAGTAGTAGATTTAAGTCAATGTCTTAACTACTCGATGCTTCTTGTATTACTCCCTCATTTTATCCAGTTTAAGTAAGTATTTCCATGTGGCAGCCCTCTGGTGCTTTACTGAAGTCTAGGCTGTTCAAATGCACTACATTTTCCTTACGGAGGTAATCAGTTATTTGTCAATAAACACTGTCAACCTAGTCCAGCACAGTCTTCGATGAATCCATGTCACATTTTGTATTACTTACCTGCGTATGGTCAAAGGACTTCACTTGCAGAACTAGCAGTCTTTAATTATTCCTTCAAAGAAAGAGTTTTACCTACTGTGTAAATTAACTGATACATACTTATTCAGATTACCTTTTTTCTCTCTTTTTAATTGTTTATCTGAAAGTTATATTTCTGTCACCCAGTCATCACACTACCCTGAATTACATAATGAAGGTGTATCAGGATAGCTTGATTTAATTAAATTGCTACCATAGAGCTCTCAACATCATTGTACAATTCTTCCACTCTTCTGAGCATTTAATAGAGTTTTATTTCCACTCATTACATTACAGTAAAAATTTAGTTTTACAGCTCCAAATCTTGCTACACACCGACTTCTTTTGCTCCTATGTCCAGTGCAATCGTCACAATTGAAACTGGAGGCCAAGTATTCATTTGATTGCCTGACTATACATAAAAATCGCCTTTTATATCAGCCCCAGCTTCACCTTGGACCCACTTCTGCTTTCCCTTAACTGGCTTTTACTTATCATGCTTAGGGAATACAGCTGTTTGCCATCCTTTTCTTCATGAAGTCTAATGAACGCATGAGCTTTGGCAATATTTACTTTATCCTCACAGGCTTTGACCTCCAAGACAGTTTTTGTTTTCCTTCTCCATCCTTTTAGTTTCTCAGTTTATTCCTAACACCCTTTTTTTCAGGATAATTACTCACTTGGTACCATCTTAGTCTTGCACACAAAACTACACAGGCCTTGCCATAATTAGTGACATTTACCTCCAACCCCTCTCCAGAAAGATAAAACCTCATAAAGCCAACTGCAGAAGTGTTTTTCTCTCTTCCCTACTGAACCCTTGTATGATGTGGGCAAGTGGCTGCTATGCCCCTGTCTGGAACTACAGGGCTGCTTTATGGTACAGATCACAGAAGCTTGCTCAGGTGGCAAGCAGGAACTTTACCTTGCACTTTCCAGGGATACTGTGGTCTCTGCCATTTCCTGCTGCTAAGCCTTACGTTGTGTTAGTATTTTCAAAGTTTAGTGGAACTGGACTGCCTTTTCAGCTGGGATTCATGTTTCATTTCATTCTCTCTAGATGGTGTTACCACCTCAGCCAAATCTATTTTTGTAATCTGTGTTACATTCCCCAGCCCTGAGTTCACAGTAACAGGGGAACTGACCTGGAATATTGCTCTGCCACTTCTTGCTGACAGTAAAAAACACCAAAAGGACTTTGGATAATGCAAGAACACCAAAGTGAAGGAAAACAAAGTATGAATATATCATCATAAAGTATGAATATCATCATAAAAGAAGAGGTTTTCTACTGCTTGGAATACAGCTGCTTTAATTGAAACATCTTTTCACAAGCCGTTTTTAACTTGTTCTCTTCTGATGCATACCCCAACATAGCTGCAAAGTCCACAAGTATTAAAAACCAAGGAAATCAAAAAAAAACCAGAACCTTTTTATCCTACATTATTTTTTTCTAACTATCTTAAAGGGTTCTTGTCAGCCTCTTCAAGGTAAAACAAAAAAGAAATATAAAATCATTACCATATAATTAAATTGAGTATTAAAAAATAATGCTACGACATCTAGGGTGGGGAAAAAGACTGGCAGCAATCAACCTAAGGTAAAATAGGACTGAAAATCAAACAAAGGTGACAACTGTTTATAGGCATTTTATGATCATATATTAACTTTCAGGCACATTTTTCAAAATACAAATCATCATCACCCTTCCCATCATAAAGAGCCAGTATAATTGGTACATAGAGAATCAAATCAATTCTATCACAGCACAACTGTAAGTGGGATTGACTCAATGCAACTGTGTTAAAAAAACCTGAAGAGATTAAAAATCTGCCTGAACTGTAATGCAGAAGATGGGGTCAAGCCAGGATGCTCTGTGAGCTTAACAAGCACTCTGTGCCCCAAAATCTCCAAGAAGTAGGAAGGATATTCTCAGCCCTTTCTCTAATTAATTTATATATCCATATTCTTGAGATGCAGGATTGGTCACATCCCTCCACTTGACATTGCAAAGAAAACAGCTCTACATTGGAGAACATGATAGAGAAACTCAACTGATTATCAGCAAGGGATGTCTAGGAGTTTGCTCTGTACGGAGCATTTGGTCTACTTGGTCTATTGGTTTTGTTTCTAAAAGTTGCCATGAAGCCTTAACGGGCTAGCTGCAAAGCCACTGTCAACCTTGTTACTGGAGAAATGCTACTGAGAGGCAAGTTTCTGTACCACGAAGCCATCAACTATCAGAAGGAAAAGAATTACAGTTCACAAGTCTATGTAAGGGATGAAAGTAAGTCTAAGATACGGTACTGCTAACATGATCAGATGATGAACCATTTACTTATGCTATAAAGTTCAAATCTGTTTGAAGTTACTATGAAATAGGGACACGGAAATTTGAAGCTTTCCTACCCTCATTTCCTTCATATTTATATAGTGCTGTGGTCTAGTCATATTTATATAGGCAAGGTCTACTCCAGTGCAGTTCTTAAGAGAAACTAAAGCTTATTCTCTAACTCTCCTCTGGAGGTGAAAGGTGCCTTTCCCAGATCATTACACTGTTTTGTAGCTTGGTGGGAGTGCAATCATTATCCATTAGCTGACATTCTACCCTGTCAGTGCACCTGGGCCCACAGAGCCAAAAGTCAGCAACTAGTCACAACTGAGAGAAAAGGGGCTGATGAGGCTGCATTTACCAGGAAAAAAAAACCCACCAAGCTATGTTACTAGCCAGGGAGGGGAGCTACCTGAAAGCCAAGAGCAGTTTCTCACATAATCAACTGATGAGCTAAAAATCCACAAACAACATCCAAAATAGGGCACATTTTAAAATCTGATTCTTTATTTTGAAAGAGTCAGTGAGCCATTAACATTACACAGATCATTTGAAGGGAACTGTTTTTCTTAACAGGACAGGCTGCTTAGTGTTGCATGAAAGCTGCCAGGGTCCTTTATTTATCTCAGCCTTGACATGGCCTGCCTCCTGTAGAGATAATAATATGATTAGAGATAACATTCCTATGCTAAACCACTCCTCGACTACATGAATGTGTCCTACTCCAGCAACTCTGACAATGACTGCAAGGCTTGAGAAGCTCCTCTTGAGAGAGGATCTCATCTCCATTTCCATCCTGTGCTACCTTGCTCTGTAAAATCCA